GAAGGATGCATTAAGCATGAGAGCATACCTTTATGTGGAAAAGTCCCTGCTCTTCCCTAACAAGCTGAAAAGAGGCTCAAAACTTTCAGAGATGAACAGGTTCAGTCTAGGGGCACTAAGATGACTCCTCTGCTCATTTTCATCCCAGTAGGTCAGTGGACCCCAGAAGGTGTAATACAGTGTCACCAGCTAAGAAATGTTGAGCAGACTGAAGCAAAAACCCAAAGGAAGGAGCCCAAATCCCTGGCTTCAAGGGATGCTGAACAATGGACAGCTTTAGGACCATAGGCTTCAAAGGTAAGGGTTTTAAGGAAAAGCTAAAAGCCCAACCATCTTCAGAAAAGTGAGAGTAGACAGAAGACTGAGCAGTGTTTCACTGCATAGCTGTGAGTGATGGATGTGAGTATAGAAAAAAAAAAACACAAAAAAAACTTTACTAGACAAAACCCAGCTGGTTATGAAGCTCTCAGTGGCTTTTAATAGTTTTCAGCTCAAACAGAAGAGGGAACTCAGAGCCTGCATTACAGAAGCTTGAGGAGTGCTGCAGGCTTTGGGAAATGGAGCATGAGCCCTTTGGTTACAACCAGCATGCAAAAAAGGACAGTGTAAAGAAGGAACAAAGAAATCCTCCAGTAGGGATGTAAAGGACTATGCTGGCACCATTAGTGCAGAAGGATTCTTCACGTCACTGTCAAAGTTTTGGCAGAAGATGGATGGACCACCTGCCTGCAAACAGGCAAGGGTATTTATTTATTTTATAGAGAGAGTGCAGGTGCTCAGGACAACCTTTGAGGGGGAAAAGGAAAGAAAAACAGTGATATTAGCTCCAAAAGTAAATCCACAACCAGCAGACACCAAAGGGTAAAATGCAAACATTACCCAGGCTGGCTAATCCCCACAAAAGTTAAAAATCTGTCAAATCCTTGGTTTCGTGAGGGATGTGCACTTTGGAGAGGTGGGGGACCTGAATTTTAGGAGATCTTCCAGGAAGGTGCTCATGGGTGGGCAGAGTAAGAGAGTCCCTTGCTCCAAGGCAGTGATGAGATGATGGGACTGCACAGCTCCCTCGGCCAGACTCCAGCGCAGCTAATGACACTGGCTAATGACACTGAATGAGAAAGAGGGGGGGGAAGCAAATTAAATACACTCTAGGGAAAGAGTGAACTTTCTTCTCTTTCCTGTGTAGATTTTGTGCTGTAAAAAGTGTCAGGAAGAAAAGGTTGCACAGAGAGCCTGCAATTGGCACACAGATGGTCTGGCCAGTGCTCAGAGCTGGGAGCTGCAGCCCCCAGAGAGGCATCTGAGCATCTGCTGGCCTCTACTGAGGGCACAGCAGGAGCTGGACTGCATGGCCTCACATGTGGGTGCCACTGCGATTGACAGCAGTTTGCCTTTTTCAAAGGCAGCAGCTCCTGGTGCCTGATGAATTCCTGCTGGCCTGCTTCACCTCTAACTTGAGCAGGAAAAATCCATATTGGCACAACACCTTTGAGAGGTTTCTTTCTTTGGTGAGGACAGCATGAAGGCATGAAGGCCTACTTGGAGAGTGTTTTGATGCACCGGTTAAACAGAGCAAGAGCCCAAACAAAGGCTCCCAGTAGCTCCAAGCAGATTTGGGTAGTCAGAGCTCTAATCAAGCAAATTCACTTCCATTTGAAGAAACTTCATTTGTGAGCAGGTATATAACACTGCAAGATCTGGGAGATGCCAGTTACCTGAGACTTGGTCAGTTGGGATGGGCAAGCAGACAAAAAAAGAGCAGAAAGTGCCCTGCCATGGGTGAGCAGCACCAGCACAGGTCCCTGTGTCAGGAGGAGCAGCCCTGTCCAGGCACACAGACTGCTGCTCCTTGACCAGAAGATTCAGAAGCTGAAGCCTGGCAGCACATGGTAATACACAGTAGCAACACAGATCTCTCAACAAAACACTGACATGGGCTTTTAAAGCACCCTGGTCAAGACTGGGATGGCCACAGAGCACAAATGGACACCCCATGGCTGGTAACAGACGTGTCTCAGTTCAGAAGTCTCTGTGGCTTGACTTGGCACAACACAAGGGCTGACTGTGGTCAGCTAACTGGGTACAGGGTAGATGAGGGAGATTCTGGATAACCCCTGTGCTCTGAACTGACTTGCCTATATAAGATGTGTCAGGCCATACGAGGCTGTGACAAGAAGCCAGAGACAAAGCAAGCCAGGGCAGATGCCCTGTTACCAACCACCCAGACATTTGGCTCTGCGTGGTTTCTGCCCAGACACAGCATTCCTGTGGGTGAGCAGCTTTTCTAGATGTGGAAAACTGGGCAGCATTACCCAGGACAACTCCCAAGAAAACACACTGTTGCTGGCAACAAGGAGGCTGCATGAGAGGAGTAATAAGCAAGGTACTGAGGTGTGGCAAAGTCATCTGTGAGAAGTCTGAGTGACTCGTGGGGAGGAAAGACCAGCATACGGGACAGAGGGGGCTGACTGCTAGTGAAAGGAGTAATTTGGAGCTAACTTGGGAGTCTGCAACAAGAGGAAAACCCAGCTGCAGCCTGGGAAGGGTACACAGCTGCAACAAGTCAGTTCAGTGACTTTGCCTTACACACATGGGTTGATTGAACAGGACAGGCCAAGCAGACTGAACAACATATGCAATGAAATAAAATAATCTTAAAAGGGATGTTTGCTTGATTTTTGTGTCTTCAGTTTGGTTGCCAGTTGCCATGCTGCTGGATTCCAACTGTAGCTCCTCATTGCTCTGACTGCATTGCTAAATTCTGGTTCAGGTTTTTACTTTCTGTAAGCATATTAAAATTTTAATTAAGCACTAAGCCAGTGTTTTAGTCAGTTTTTGAGAATTCAGCTATTTATCTTGTTGATTACAGTTCTCTCAGGTCCTTAGTTGTGGCCTAAATTTAGAACAATTCTGACTGAGCCCTGCAGGATAACTGCTACAACTATTCATTAAAAATTAAGAGATCAGAGTTGATCAGCCAACTCTGGGAGGCTGCTCCTGACAGTCTTCTGATCTATAGGTGCTAGAGCCAGGTTAATGTTGATCTGATAGTAAAACACAGCATGGAGAGACCTTGGAAAGATGCAGCAGCTTACTAGGACACAACTTGTTTCATACCTTGTTGTCCACCTGAGATGGTGAGGAAAGAGGGGTTTCAAGCAAAGCAGTTCTCCTTCATGCAATTTCCATAATGCAACATAAGCCCTTCTCAAGGCAAAATGTTTAAATGTCCCCATTTTTGTCTCTCTGGAGAGCACTTTTCAAGAGATGAATGAAGGTCCCTGCTTTACAAAGCACATGGGCAGCTCCCACAAGGAAGCAGTTCATGCTTAGCCAGCTTCATGTGAAATTTTGTGGGGTTTTTCCTAAACTGACGGAGAAATCCAAGGGCTCTACAACATGTACTCATATGCAACAGGTTCATCACACATGTTAATATAAAAGACTAGCTATCAACAGCTAGTGAATCCAGCTGTCAACATGCAAAACCCTGGCCAGATCTGTCAACATCTGGGACCAGACATCTCTTAAATGCCGTTTTAAAATTGTATCACAATAAGAAATGTAGTGATAATGAAATGCAGAGTCTGGTACCATCCAAAATTCAGCAGCTATGGTATTTGCCATGGAGTTGAACTCCCAAGTTTAAGCAGCTGGTGCTAGAAAGTGTTTCTTGTAGCTCGGCAAATAAATTCAATGAAGAGAGAAAAGGAGATTATCCTTCTGTGTATAACCCTGACTAAAACTTGTTAACCATCCCTAACTGTAGCTCTCCCCCCCGTACCAATCCCATCTGTAATACCCAATCAGCTGGTTTTTCTGTCCTAAGGGGAAGCCAAGGTGGTGGCTGCCATGGATGGCAGGGACATTGCCGGGAGTACAGCCACCTCCTCCTCCAGTCACTGCAGACCCACCACTACCAGTCTTCATGCTGTTTTTTGCAATACTCTGGAATGATGAACCTGCTTTTTAAACCATGGGTGACCACCTCTCCCAATGGCCCTTCACCACCAGCTAGGAGAGCGCTTTTCTAAAAGGTCTGAAGTCATCCACTGTTTAATCATCTGAGCTTTCCACTTCTCCCATCTCGTCTCCAATTAATTCAGTGTGAGTAAATTCAGCTGTTCACTGATGAATTTGAAAGACCTTGACCAAACAGCCCTTTACTTCCTGCCCATCAGTCTGCAGCCTCCTTGCACAGTGTCTCAGGCCAAAGCCAAGTACAGTGAAAACTTTTCCTTTCACTCGCTCACATTTCACTTTCACAATTAAACTCACACCCAGATCACTGCTCAGGAAACCATATCTTACACTAGGAAAAGCTCCAGTTCAGTCTACTTTGCCAGGCCCATTTGGGTATCCAGAGAGGAACCAGCTCCTGATCCAGGCTCCTGCTTCCCAGTCAGTACTGACAGCACACACCAGTTGTATCCAATCCAGTCCCATGCTGCCCTCCCAGGACTCCTCTTCTGGAATCCTCTAAAACTCATCTTCTGGAATTCTGGGGCTATGGTGAAAGGGAGATGGAAGAAATGAGAGATGCCAGCCCTTTTAGCTGTACAGAGAAGCTTGCTACCTAAAGGCATTTGACTGCCTCAGAAAGAAGAGGTAAATTTAAGGAACCCACAGCTGAGATGTTGTTCTGCTGAGTTTGAAATCTCACTTTTATGGTTATCTCATGCAAAACTGGAAATAACACTGGCCACACTTCCAACCTGCTTCGGGGAAAAATGGTAACAACCAGTGCAAACGAAAGGAAATGTGCTGCACAAAAAATCTTTATCAGAAAGTACCCTCCAGAAAAACAGAGAAACGCACATAGTTCCAGAGTGAAGCCTGGAAGGCTTGTGCAGCAACACACCTACAGACCCTCACCACCTCTTTACTGTCCCTTAGCTGGGGATGGTAATTTCTGTAGGTCAACTAGTGTGAGCTTTCCCTAATCTGCGCCAGGGCAAGCTCCTGGAGCTTCAGTGACAGGTGAAGCTGGACTGGCAGAAGGCTGCTATCTGTAGGAGGTCATAGAGCTTTGCATATACTTTGGATTCTCTCTCTGATCCTAAATCAAATAACTGAGAGGAATAAGGAATATTTTTCTAAATTTGGGGGTTAAGAGCTGAGCCTTAACCTATCTCTGACCTAGCTCTATGGAAGAAAAACCCAGAGGCCTCACTACTGCACAGAGTCAGATCCAAAATCTTTGATCCAGTCGAGTCCATTGACAAGTGAAGAAAGGGCTCTGAGGATGGAGCTGTGGCTGTAAAACTGGAGAAGTGCTATGCTGAATGGGCTATTTTGCAACCTTCTTTAGCTGCAGCAGAAGCAGCTGGTCATTACAGCCCCCACCCTGCTCCTGGCTGTTTGTGAGCATGACCGGTGGAAATCCCTCCTCACTGCTGGTGCACTCCAAATAAATGGGTCTAATTTAGCAAAGCTACAGCTGCAGCTTAAACGGTGGGGAAGGATCATACCAGCAACCAAGCAGGCAGATCAGAGGAGGGCAAAGCTTCCAACAGGTGATGACAAGCAGGTGAGAAGAAGTAATTGTGTCAGCTGGAAGGAAAATGTGAACAGAGCCCCACAGTCCCTCAAGCAAGCAGTTTCTGGGAGGGGCTGCAGAAGCAGCCCCCAGCCTCATGTTAACACTTTATTTATAACATTGCCTTCCTGCTCATAACCTTCCCAAATGTGAATTGCAACTTTTCCTCCCCCCAGCATTATGGTGATAGTTTGGAACATGGAGATGTTTGGAAAGGGGCAATTTGGCATCAGGAGTCTAAAAAGCAGATACAGATGACATCCTAAATGTATCTTTTATGAGTTTGGAACATTTCCTTTAAATAAAGCTCAGAGTGTGTGACAGCTTCTAGTAGTGCTGCCAATAAGGAAATAAAACAAAAAAAAAATCAAGAAGTTCTTAGGCATATGTAGCCTCAGAGATTTGGATACCTTGCTTTCCCTCATGCCACTTTGAACTGCTTACCAAGTGCTTCCTAAGGAAAGTGCTCCAGTAATTTTCAATTGTCTCCTCACCACATATGCCCTCGAACCCCAACATACTTCCAAATTCTAGGCTTATAAAAAATTAAATGCTCCAATAATTCTAAATTGTGTTTGTTCAGTGTAACTGGAACCAGGCCATTCCTTCAGTTTGGGGATTTTTGTTTGCAGTGGGTGAAAGAAGAAATGCTTTCTATTAGTGCTTCAAGTTGGAAGCTGGTCAAACAGCATCATAGCAGAATGATTCAGCAGCCTCTGAGCTGATACACAGTGTATCATAAAATGGGATTAGGAAAACAACAATGCTTGGAGGAGAAAGAACGCACACAAAGAATCACAGCAGGAGAACAATACCAGAAAGGAATAGAGGGGAATAATCCTCACTTGGCTTCTGAGAAGCAGGTTGGATGACCTAATAGATGGCTTTCAATGCCCTTCATTCCCCACAGAGTCACAGGGTTCAGCTCCCTGGATCCAGCTAACACAGCTTAATAAATGGCTCTGCATTGACTGAACCACATCAAGTGTTCCTGTGTGCACACCCACAGCCTGCTGCCATTTATCTGAGATCATGATCCCCCTCTGGCAGAGGACCTGGATGCTATTTCACAGTGGGCAGGAGCTTGTGCAGAACTAGTGGTGGAATTCCATTTAGAATAAGAAGGTGGGGAAACAATCGTAGGCTGTGAGTCTTCCAGCTAGAAACCAGAAAGGGGTGTTTTCTCAGTCTTGCACAAGACATACACACACATGGCAGCACATTAAAGGAGCACTGAAATTAAGTGTATTTCCTAGCACTGTCCTGAACAGGAATGAAATTAAACATGTATTTCGTGATCTCCTGAATCAAAGTATTAGCAACCACCTATGCCCAATGCCAAGGTGGAAGAGGAAAGCATAATTTAAAATCTATTCTCTGTGAACCTGAAGATCCTACTGACAACCTGGTTTTAAATTAGGCCATACCTGTTACAACTGCAGTCTTGGAGTGATAGAGGAAGGCAGGGTTTCTCTCAGGAGTTTTACTAGATCAGCAATGGCTGAATTACTTCCATGCAGAACATAAAATCACAGCTTCACGCAATCGAGGAAAATCAAACAATTGTATCACTATTCCAGTAAAATAGCTATATCTAAAATTTGGTAGAGACATAAAAACGAGGATGAAAAAGAAAAATCTCATATGCCATGGCCTCCTCTTGTAGACTGAAAAAATGATAAAGTGCATCCTTGTTTAACTCACCGCAGGATGCCTGGAATTTTATAGAAACTACTGCAACTTGTCTCCCAGTAGGGAATAACTGAAGTATGAGATAAGAAATCAACCACATCCTAACTTGCAGTGACAGATGCTGTAAAAGGAAATGCCCAGTAATGGCTTAATGTATAGGAAGATGGCAAATAACTGTCTAGAATTCTGAAATAAGAAAGCATAAACCAATTCTCTAATCACATCTAATCAAAGAACACCATCAATTGCTAAAAACTTCTAGGAAAAAATGGGTATTGGAGAGATGGTAGCAAGACTATCTTTGTCAGTAGTGTTTTGGGAATATTTTAGCCTGCAGAATTTAATTCCCTGTTATTACTTCCAAGCTGGAGGTGTAAATCATAAATCAGAACCATTCATAACAGGCAATAATGGGATGAAATGCTCATAGGGAGAGTTACATGATGAAATCCTGTGGGACTGTGTGTAACCTTTACAGTCCTTGACGACAGCATTAAAAATTCTTCTGTCACTAACATCTATTCTTCCCTAACTCCTATACTAGGTTTTCTTTCTTCTCTCCTGACATCTCCGAATTTTTCTGTCATACAGCACTCCTTTCACCCTTCCTCCCTGCTGCCCTAAATATATGTTTAAGAGAAAATCATAGGAAAGCATTCCACACTTAAAAAGATGGGCAGGTTTCAATTTACACTGTAATTACTAATAAGGGCTTTTAATACCAGAGGAGCTTTCCCAGGGAGTTTTGCTCTGATTTCAGGACCCCCATTGTTTTTATAGAGGGCTATTTGGTCCCATTTATAAGGTGGCTACATATTGTGTAATAAAGACTGCAATGTTCTAAAATAAAATAACACCGTCCCCACCCTTCTTTTACCCTTTCATAACTGAGTTTAAAAAAAAATCCCAACCCATCATGTGTTAGAGCTTTGTTTTCTGAGTAACGAGACCAATCATGTTTCCTCTGCTTGAGGTCTCTCTCTTCTCTTCCTTTTCTTCTAGGTCCTCTGGATCCACACTGACATAGAAATATCCCATGATGGAGAAAATAATGCACACAGCAAAGAGGAGAACAGTGAACAAGACAAATTCAGCCCACTAGGAAAGAAAAAAGAACAGTAAGTCAGGAGACCCCAGAATCTCAGTCCAGAGGATATCTCTGCACTTTCAAGTGCTTTTTCAAGAGCTGGGTGAAAATTACTTTTTAGTTTTCAAAATGGCTCACAAGATAGAAACTTTCTCATCCTGTTTTCTAGTAAATGCTTGTACACATAATGTAATTATGAATATGTGATATACCTTGAAACAAACCAGTTAGACTGAGTTGGTTTAATTAAATCTTTTCTTGCAAGTCTGTCCTGACTAGAACATATCTACCTGGGCTTTTTGCCCAGAAGGTGCTTTTGGGAGAGGCAGCTTTGTGTTAGCCAGAAATAATCCCCAGATCATGCCTTCATGGCATCATCCCAGAAGCCTGATAGCCTGAATTAAACTACCTCTGCAACACAACCTCCCCACATAATCCTGACATCTGAGGGGTGCCACAGGCAGCTGGCCTGGAAGGATTCCCAAGCAAGACCCTGGAGGAGGCTGACTGGTCTAGTTGTTCCTGGTAAGTAACTCAACGTGTGGCTGGCATCGTGTCCAGGTTCCAGGTTCAAATCCAGCCAGCTTGCCTAGAGCTGAGCTTCAGCAACCTTATCACAGTGCAGGTCACTGTTATTTGCTGCCACTAGCAGGCTCAGAGAGGGCCACTGCTCCCCAGGCCAACACTGCTGAGGGGCACACAGGGCACAGGCTGGGAGGCAGCTCAGGGGGGGCTGCCATCCCTCAGCTGCAGGAGCTGGGGGCTGTGCAGGGAAGCTGAGCCTCCAGGACACAGATGTCCAGAAGCACCAGAAGCCTGTTTTAAAGCATTAACCTCAGTTTTACGAGCCAAACCATACCTGTGCCATTGGTGCAGCTTCAGCAACAATGAGCACAAAGGTATTCCCCACAGCCACCGTGAGCAGCCAGCCTGCCTGCAGCACCGACTTCATGCTGGCTGGAGACTGAAAAGAGAAGGGCCTGATCAGTGAGTGTCATGCTGTGCCCTTCGGCCCTGTTTCACCCTGTGATGACTGCAGGTGTCACTGGGCTCAGCCTGGGAGGAGGTGGTGGGATTTCCTCTGTGCAGAGCTTAATCTCTGTGGTTAATTTCAACAGCTGCATACAAGGAGCTTTCAAAACATGGACAGGAGGACACATGAAGAAGCAGGAGATGCTGTTGTTGCAGAGCTGAATCCTGGTCATCCCCAACCTGCATCATCTGAAATGGTATGATCAGGAAGTCCAAGGAGCCACACAAGCCCTGCAGCTCGGAGTCTGGTGCCATGTGGCTGTACGCTTTTGCAAAAGAGACTGGATCTTGATGTTAAACTTCCTGCTGATAACAAATTATTCACATCCCATTATAGATCATCCCACTGTATTAATCATCCTTATTAATAAACATCTGCACTTTACTCCGAGGATAAATTTGAGTAGCTTCCACTTTTTGATCTTGTAATGTCTCAGTCCTCTCTTCCCATAAACCTCCCCAGACAGCAATCAAATCATCCCTTGCACACTTTTTACCCTTTGCTCTCTTGTTACTGACTCATGTGGGTTTAGACTCCCTCAATCTCTCAGTTCAAAGCAGACTCCAGGCTCCCATGCCACCCTGTAGTCCTTCAGATACCTTTGACCTTTTATCACTGAAAAATACATATCACAAAACATTTCACTGGGAGTAAACCCTGACACTACAGTATTCAGAGCTTCACATTAAAAGAAACTTCTATCTTGTTTTGTTCCATGTTCTCAGGATTACCAGATAAGGAGTTTTCCAAGTATCATTAAAGACAGGTATCTTCAGAGTATGAATTAATTTAGCTTGAGGGCACCCAGCAAGATGTGTTATAATCCCACTTTCAGCTGAAGCACAGATAACATCGTTAGTAAGTGTCCTGTCAAAGGACACATGACAAGTCAGTGATGCAGGAATAAATCCTGAAGTCTAATTGTAAGCCCCTTATCATTAAGTGGAATACCTGAGAATAGGAGAAGGCCAGGCCTGTAATGGAGAACATCACCTCCCCAGCAGATATTAATAAGTATTGTGGTAACTGCCAAGCCATATGGACATTGTTGGCTTTGATGTCTTCTGACTTCCATGTCTTAACAGCACCTCCAGAAATCTAGCAGGAAAAATAAAGGCACATTGATTAGCTGCTGAAAGAGCAGATCTTTCTTAGCCTGGACAACAGTGAATTTACCAAAACAACGTTTTAAGCAAAGGTGGAAGCAAAGCTCTGCATTTGAAGCAAAACTATGGGTCTGACCCCTGCCATTTCCAAACCTGTTGGGAATGGGCTGACTCCTGCTGCACAAGGTAGAGGGAGCAGGATGGAAGCATTCCAGCTCATTCATGTGCCACAAGAATTCCCTGAGTTATTGTAAACCAACAAGTTGCCTTCTGTAGTTGGGCTGAGAAAAGCCTGTGTGGTACTTCTGCAGAGCCTGTGACCCACTGCTGTCCCCAAGGCCAGAAAAGGATGACAGGACAAGTACTCACTGCAAGCACGTGATCACTGCTCCCATTTTATCAGCTCTGTACAACTTCCCTATGATAACAGTGACACCCAAACAAATTCAACTCAGGAATGCCAAGAATAGCAAAGCCTGCTCCATATCAGATGTGTTCAGTTAGATATGGTAGTTGTATTCCTAATTATTTTTGTTTGCTTTCCCAGGTGTAATTAATACTGCCTCTGAAGCACAGAGGCTCAGCGGCAGAAAGAGATTTGACTAGTAGCCAGAAAAACACTAGGCTGAAATGACTTCAGGCAGAAAGCCCTGTGTTTAAGGAGAGTACGTGGGAAAATACGAGGGATGTTTACGAGATGTACTTAATCACCGATCATTGCCAGGGAGGTAAATCAAGAGACTATTTTAGCAGGCTAAAAGGGGTGAGAGGAGGGCTGTGCATTGCTCTTTAGCCCATAAAGAAATGTCACGATGCCCCACACTATAACTGCACACTGTGGAAGGCTGGGTAGAAGGCAGCATCCTCATGATTTAAGTATCATAGTTCAGCTACATTAGCAGACTAATATATTGTATTCTTAGTTCTTCTATATGGTACTTCTGGCAGAGGAGCAAGGCTCAGTACAAATCACTGCAATAATTAAAAGCGATCTTGGCCTGGAGCAAACCAACTCTCTACAGAAGGCAGAAACCACAGAGAGAGAGGGTTAAAAAGATTAAATGACTAGCACAGGGATCAGAAGGGCTGAGGGGCTGAGGCACAGAGCCACCCTGAGCAGCCATGGCAGCAGCTTTTGCGGATGGGACCGCAAACGGGAATCCTTGGCCACAGTGATGTGGGACACATCTGCCTCAGCTGGCCCTGACTCAGTTGTGTTACCACAGGCTCTGGGGCAATTTTCTTAATATTTTTCATGCAACTTCTCTGCTTAGTTTGTCATCTGGTGAAAGAGGTTTGCAGCCATAGAAGAAGGGTCTGGCCAACATCACTTCAAGTGTGTGTGTGTTTTATGTACATAAATCTCTGTACTCACAGATGGCAGCATCTGGTTGTTCCCTCCAGGGCCCTACATCCCACTCCAGCTACTGGAATTGGAAAAAAGAACTGCCAGGTGCTTCATGGCTATATTTTCCCCCCTACGTATTTGGACTATGCAGACATGAACAGCTCCCATTAATTGCCCAACAGGGAGATGCTACTGCCAGGGAGTAGCTGACAACACTTTGCTCTGCTCATCACAACACAGTAGTCAAAGTCTCAGAGGGCAGCTTAGCAGTGTGTCCTGTCAGACCTCGTTTGTCTGTGTGCCTGTGCAGTGGAAAGGTTAAAATGGGAACTAAGCTGAGCACGTTCATCTCTTTGGCTCCAACCAGCTGGACCAGGTTGAAGCAGCATGTCAAAGAGGCTGGTAGGCAGGGAAAGGAATCCACCCTCTCAGCAGTGCTCACACCCCATCAGGGCTAGGCTGTTCAGAAAACCATGCCTTGACTTTACACTAGGCTCCAAATGAGCTGTACTGACAGTGAGAGGAGGAAACACAGATGTAGAATCTCACCAACCTCCTCCCCCAATACTTTGTCCCTCTTCCCCCTATGCATAATCTACAAATCTTGGAAAACCAGCCTTTAGTTCAGTAAGTTAAATGGGGGGATAGGGCAGACTGTTTCTGCAGTTTTTCAGGTGTGAGGTACCACCAGGTACAGTACTTTAAAGAGAACAAGCAGTCAGCTCTTGGCAGATGGTAACAGCTCTTTGCAGTGTGCTGGGTCAACGTTAACTGCTCAAGGATGGCGTGAGACCGGCACAAACCAGAGATTATATGATTTGCCATGGAGGATTTCTATCAAGGAAGAGATTTTACTTCTTTTCAACCCATGAGATCTGACGTGATCACAGTGTAAGGTGGAACGAATACACATTCATCTTGCTTACGAAGGTGCCAAAACCTTTTACTAGCCCTTGCATAATGGACTGCTTTCAGATGGCTACTGCCCAGAGACTAGAACAGGAGCATGTTACCATCACAGGAACACTTACGTTAGTTATCACAATGGTGTATGAGGCGCCGAAGTCGAGCAGCCCCAGCTCCAGGGGGAACTCTCCTGTTTCAGTTATGCATTTTCCATTATTATATCTAGATAAAAGGATAAAGAACAGTATTTCTCAGTTCCACAGACAAAGAACACAGAGCAGAGCTATCAAATGTGCCCCTAAAATGGGGCAGGAAGGATGCAAGATATAAAGATGCAGCAACATTTATGTCAGATGATCATTAGAGTTCTTGCCAACTTTTCCTTCCGGAAACACTTAGGCACTGATTGAAGTTCACCTAATGATCTGGGCTATTCCTAACATTTCTAAATGGTTTCTGCTTCTTCTTAGTACTGATTTATTTTATTTTTCTTCCCCTCAGGTTTATTTTTCTTCCCAACTTTGCTCCATTCCTTCAGGAACTGTGGGCCAGACAAGCAGTTTGCAGGAAATCAGAGATGTGCACCCAGAAGCCACTTTGTTTCCTTTCAATGGAGCAAATCAACCTTCATATTTGTTCTTCTGATTTTGGATGTGTGAGATGGCACGGAGGCTCAGCAGCATTGCCACAATGGCTGCTATATCCTACTAAATTGCAGCAATAAATATTTTGGATGGAGTTGATGCAGAGAAAAGCCATGAAGCTTGTTTTGAAACACTGGAAATGCTAGAAATACCCTACAAGAGCCAACTCTGATGCTGCCAAACCAAGGCCATATGGAGCCCCTAACAAGCTCAGCCTGCAAAGCCATGTAATGCTACTTGATGTTACCTGCCCACATACCAACACTCTGTAGTGTGGAATATGAATTGGCCTTTCTGTGAGAGCACACTAACACTAAGAACCTGTGCCTGAGAGAGTATCAAAATAAAGCAGGACCCAAATGGCAGAGGGGACCTCACCATATTCCACCTTACTCTGCTGACAGATGCACAGGAATGACCAGTCTCTTCCCTCCAGGTCCCCACATAATGTGAATAAAAGCCTCTGCATGCACACAAGTGGCCTGGAGCACCTGCTCTGCATAGAGCTGGTAGTTCTACTTTTTACAAACATCTGCCCCCATAACCAAATGCCAAGACAATAGCAATGAAGGTTTTGCTATTAGCCTGAGAAAAGCCTCAATGTATCCAAGGAAAGGCCTCAGCAAGGACCTTCAGCACAGCAAGGGAAACTTACATGTCCCTCTCCAGCAGTGAGTACTCAGAAGGGCTGTAGTTTTTCTGAACAGCAATGAACTTTCTGCTATCAATGGTGAGGTTGACATCTTGGCTCAAACCATTAATGAATCTGCAAAGAAACCATATTTCACTGAGCTGTCAGACAAGGCAGGAGAAACATTATAGCAGACACATCAGAAGTTTGCTCCCTCTCCCAAAGTGTACAAGTAATTCCATAAGGTTATGACATTCTCTTCTGCAAGTTACCAAAATATTAGCCAAATTCATTGCCCAGTTTTTCAATATAAGTTTCCCTGCTGTGTAATTTTACTCTATCTCCTGTGGAAAGTGATCCTCACTTTTTGTGGGTTAGAACTTCCAGGCAATCCCTTCTCATAGACCTTCAAAGATTGCAGCAAACCCAAAGGAAGCTACGAAGACGATCAGAGGCCTGGAGTACCTCTACAATGAAGACAGGCAGAGAGAGTTGGGGCTGTTCAGCCTGAAGAAGAGAGAGCTCCAGCTCTCTTACAGCACCTTCCAGTACCTCAAGGGGTTACAAGAGAGCTAGAGAGGGACTTTTTACAAGGGCATGGAGTGACAGAACAAGGGGCAATGGCTCTAAACTGAAAGAAGGTAGGTTTAATTTATATAAGATCTCTTCATTATGAGGGTGGGGAGGGCCTGGCACAGGCTGCCCAGAGAAGCTGTGGCTGCCCCATCCCTGGAAGTGTCCAAGGCCAGGTTGGATGGGGCTTTGAGGAACTGGTCTAGTGGAAAGTGTCCCTCCCCACAGCAGGGCAGTTTGAATGAGATGATCTTTAAGGTCCCTTCCAACCGAAACCATTCCATGATTCTGTGACGATTGCTCTGTGGCTGTTTGAGAGGACAGAGCCTCAGCCCACCACAGAAACTATGGAGCTGTGTATCCTGATAAGCATGTGCACCATGCTGACAATGAGTTTCTACCAGTGGGAAAGAGTTTTCTAGCACAGTAAGATATTTTCATCAAAAGAAAAACCTACATGGAAATGTTTGGGGGTTTGTTTGTTTGGTTTTTTAATACATAAAAGACAGTTTCCTTTTGGCAACTCAAAAATTGTTGGCAAAAACCAAATGCTTTTTATTTGATCTATGTCTTAAAATATTTTGGTTTTCAGTTCCTAAAATGGGGGTGTAATCCCTGAAGACAGTCAAGTGCTTAATGAAAAAAAATTTTCAGTGGAAAAATAGTTTCTTCCTCCTTTTTACAAATTGCTAAGAGGAAAGTTTGGGGATTTTGTCAAAAATGTCCACAAGAAAATGTAAAACATTCCTGACTGCAGCTATTAATCAAGTAGTGTTTAGCCAGTAGAAGCCTTCACAAGCACAGGGCTATGAAGAGGTGCTGCTCTCCTGTTTTGTCATCATAGGCTTTCAGATAAGGGTGTTAGACATTGGTTTTGAGGTTTGTTTTGTTTGGTTGTTTCATAATTTTACTTTTGTGGTGGGGGTTTTTTTGGTCTTTTGCTTTGTTTTTGTTTGTTTTTTTTTTTTAATTTTAGCTTGTCCAAATCCTCCAGACAGTGCACAAGGATTTTTTTTTTTTTTTTTCAAATTTGCTTCTTCTGCATGTCAGCAGCTGGCACAAGCCAGCACAGGAGTGTTCATGGACTACATGGACTAGCTCAAATTAGGAAAGTAGACTAGCTGCTTGAGCGGAGCCCAATGCCCAGCTGAACTGTTTACAAGGATGTAAAACTGTTGCTGTACCCAATTTAGCAGGCATTTGGGCATAAGGTTGAGTGAGAACATCATGAGTTGGCCAGTTTGCAGAGGACATGGCAACAGCTCCTATCCAAACTGCTTCTTCTCTTTCTTTCCCAAAGAGGTGGCACAAAGTGAGATGAATTTGCCACTTTTCCAAGGGAGGAGATCTTTTATGTTGCCATCTCAGCCCAGACTATCCTAGGCAGTAAGCAGCAATAATGCTCAGTTCTGCATGGCATGTGTGGGAGGTGACACTCTGTCAAGCCTCCGCAGCTGACACACAAGTCTTGCATGAGAAGTGTGGACCAGATTCCAACCCAAGAACATCTGGGTTATGTTACAGACAGTTTGCATTAGACAAAAGCACTTTCCCTCTCCCGACCACCTCCAAATCCTCAAAAAAATCCATTCCTACCTAACAGCTGCCAAACCATTTTCTGGCTTTGCTTCCAAGTCTGTAATCTAAAGAGGGGAAGAAAAAAAAACACATCAAACATATTTATTAATGCTGCCTTTCAACAATGTGAGGCAGAAAACACTAGTGCTGTGGAGTCACACATGTGCTGCAAAGCCTGTGGAAATCGATTGTACTCTCACATAAGTTTTACGTCAGGCCACAGATGGGAAGTCCTGACACAGTGAAGCCAGTGGCAAAATTTCATCTCCACTAAGATGAGATCATAGCTTTTCCTGTCATCTCCTCTGTAACAAAGCCTACAGAGTTTCAGCTGGTCACCCTTCTATTGAGGCATGTAACACCCTCCAAAAAAGTATTTGTCTTGATCTGGAGATAGCAAGAGAGCATTATCCACATTACCATCTTTCATTGATTAGTTACAAGTAAACTTGAGTGCCTTACTCCTACGAAACCTGAAACTGTCCAACTCTCAGACCCTGATTTTTGTCACATTCATAGACTTCACAGAAGTCTAAAGCCAAGAGGAACTGCTAGGTTACTATTCTGATCATCATGTACCACTCATATTTTCCCTGACCCTGAATATTCAAGACATTAAACTACTGTATGGTGCCAGCAGAGAGAAGGAGAGACCATGATGCACTGACCTTGTTTGTGCTCACAGTTTCTGCAGACAAATCCCTGAAATGGCCACTTGGATGGGCACACTGGGGGTGAGCATGTCACTCCTAGAGATCACAGCTAGAGCAGCAGCTTAGTAGTTAACAAGGTCAACATTCCTTCAAAGAAAGCCTATTTGGTGTACAATGCTGAAAAAACACAGTGAAGACACAGCCCTGCCCTGAAGGTTCTATGTCACATAAAAAGAATACAAAGCAAGGCTCTTGGCTGGCAGAAATCCAAAACTGTGCCATGTCCATTTAAGTTGGCAGGGCAATTTCAATTTGCGCTGCCCACAGATGGAACTCTGGCAAGCCAAAGGAGACTGATTCCACCTTCAGAAGCTGGCTTTCTCTAAAAATTTTCCGGCCCTTTCTCCACACTTTTTTCCTGATGCTAAACCCTGAGCTTCTGAGACCAAGGATCCAGAATTTCAGTACACCTGTAAAACGTCTAGTGTACCTAGTGTGATATGCTACCCACAAATAACATATGCCCTAAATAATAAATAGCCACAGTGAATAATAAATGCCAGAGTAATAAATAATAAACAGCTACATCATTTTTTTTCCATGGGAGACACATGGGGATGAACACTTTAATTCATTGCAGATAGGCCAGCCAAATTATAACTTGTTTTCATCGATGATCCCCAGAGCTCTCAAATTCATTTCCTGCCTACTCAACAGCCCACAAAGGAGAAGAAACCAATTTCAGATTGGATCCTTCCAGGAAAGCAATCCCACCTGAGTGAGTGGGCCAAACCCAGCAGTGTGGGAGGTTACTCCAGGGCAAGCACAGCAACACAGCAGTGATACCAGCATTGCCTTCCTCGTGTTGCAATGCTGAAAAAATGACTATCATTTACCATGCTGTCTTCCACATCTCCCTTATCTACAGCTGTGAATGACAGGTCAATAGCATCCCCCAACAGCACAGCTGTTTCCCAGCACATGGGAGCCTGCCCATGCCACGGTGGGCACTAATTTAAGCACAGGCTGAACAGCTAGGGCAACATAGATGTACTGAAGAGATTGCTTTGCTTCAGCCTGTCACAGGCTTTTGCTTCTTAAGGACTGTATGAAAATCACTGTACAAGTATCCGTTTCTTAAGGCAACAGCACTCAGTCATCAAGGTCACAGGGAAACTTAACAACATTGTGTGATAATGAGCTGTAGGCTCCAAACCATAAAGGCAGCAAAAAACCTTAATGTTATGACAAAATAAATTCTTAAAACTAATTTTTAAAAACAGTTATGTGATTTCTACTATACGATACTGACTGTTTCATGTGGCAACCCTGAAATGTAGGAGGCTGAGAAACTGCAAAGAGAATGGATATTTTAGCATGAGGAGAGATTCTGATGGCATTTACACACCTGCCACAGTGTGCGATGACACCATTCATTTCAAGGGAGCTTCTTAGGATACAGCTACACATAAAAGACATCAGAATCTACCCTATACCTCACAATATGCCCTTCTCTGATTGTTGCAGCAATATACAAAAGTCCAAATGCAGACGGCTCTGCTGCAGAGCCTGAAATGAGCTTAATCATTTATTCTGTTCAGCAAAACAAATGGGCCTTCTGTGCATTTTCACTAAACACTTGCAAAAACTAAACCAGGAATCATTCCTCTGATGCTGTTATTCCAGGGCCAGCCCTAGAGCCTCTTTAACATCTTCGCTTTATAAAACCATCTTTGGGGGGAAATCTCTGGCTCTCTGTTTCCCCAGCTTTCTCAAGCTCTGCTGCCTAGCAGGCATGACTCTGCTCTCCCACTGCAGCATTCAATGGATTAAAGTGTGCCCAGAAACTCTCAGATGCCACAACGCCTCTATTAATCAACCAGTAGAAGTGCGTACAGATCCAGTGCCGCTAGCTAAGAAGTCAGGTTTAGAGCATCTGAGAGCAATCAGACAGACATTGCAACTGAGCAAATGAATTAATGAGCCTATTACCCCATTGTAGCATCACAGCCATTGAATTAATACTGTATTTACACTTCACTCCCACACTCACTAAGCGGCTTGATAGGCTTCCTTCTGCCTCAAAAACAATTAAGCTGTATACTGATTTTTCCTTCACGGTGTAGTTAAAAGCAAGAGTCAATCCTTGATGTTGCAGGGTGAAGCGAAGGCTCTGTTGCTCTCCATTCAATATTAATTTTGAGTACTCAGCTGGGTTCTGTGGAAGAAAACAAACTTGGTTACACTTTCTTCAGATGAGAAAGGATCTGTCTTTTCCCACTAAGTGCAACACTATCCTCTCTTCAAAGGAGTCTGTAACCCTGTTATCCTTTGTTCCTAATTACAGGTAAATGTAAGGTGTTCCCTTTGCCACAGAAATATGTGTCGAAGTGTTCAATTTCTGTCTCATATAACAGAGATAATATGTTCCATTTGTAAAGCTATTCCCATACATTTTTAAGGCAATGGAGGAGAACAAGCTTTTGTATCCGTTGGCTTTATTAGAAAATGCCTTAAAAAAAAAGCCCATCCTTTCTTCAAAGAGATGCAAGTCAGGCTTTCCAGCCCAAAATATATGTTTACCTGAAAAGTCTCCACAGGCTGCTGAAATAGGTCCTTTTCCTGGATTGTCACTTGAACAGGGTTCTTTGCCAAATTCAGGACCCGAATTAAACTTTCTTCTGGGACAAGTTGAGGCATATCGGTTTCCTAATTAAAGTAAAAGGCTTTAAGTGCCATCTGTATGCTTTATTAGCACTTTAATATCTCTTCATTTTTAGCCATAAAAGTCTTCCTCTCTGTAATGACACTTTTCCATCCCTTCCTCATCAGAAGTTGCACTCAGTGAAAACTGAACATAAATCTTATTTAGGGAGGTTTCCTCATAGTAGCTCAATAGCCAACCCATCACTCCTCCCAAAAATTCTCTTCACACCCCTAAGCATAGAGACTACACACCTACTGAGCAGGTAGAACAATGTCACAGCTTTCATTATACAGCTCCCTAGTGCCTGGATTTAACCAACTGCCATATCAGAACGGAAAAATTTTTGCTGAGCTTTCAAAAGCAGTGACCAGAATAATTATTTCCCGTTGCAGTCAGTGACTGGGAAAAGAATCAGACCAGAAGCTAAGCAATTTGAAAATCCCAGTCCAGCTCCATGCCTGTAATTGGTGCTTTTGCATTACTTGACACCATGCTATCTAAATGCTGACTGTATAGATCTTATTCCCTGTTTTCTGAGAAAGGGAAGATGATGCCTCCAGCACACAGGTATCTCCTTCTGTCAGGAATCATTTCCTAGAAAGAGTACATCAATCAGTGTCAGCCTTGTACTACCTGCAGAGCTAATTTTTTTTTTTAAAGCCCTGTTTTCTTCTCACTTTATTTTCAAGTAGCTGCCAGCAATATTGCAGAGGTATTCATTTTTTCTCTATCATATCTTATAATTTGGGTATTGCAGGCAGTGCATTTTGAACCTAACTTGGTGGGGACAAACATCACCACAGAAGATAGAGCGAGCTGATTTCCCTGTATCCACATGCTGCCAACGGGCCTGTTAATGTTACAGCAAATTCCATTACTGTGGCTTTTCGCTTCTGCGAAAGGTGTGCCAGCTTATCCTCTAGAGCTTATAGGGCAAAATTTTAGCCTTCAGGATAAAATTTTCATTCACAGGCAGGGGAGAACCTCTAACTCACCTTGCCTCTGCCCAGAGGAGTCACCCACAGCCAGAGCAAATTTCAGTGCTCTGCCAGAGCTGCTGCTGGTGGCAATGAGAGCATTTCTTTGTTCACATAAAAAGATCAGAAAAAAGACCTGAACCCACAAAGTCTCATTTCAGTGGGAGACTCATTAGTGGATTCACCTGAGGAACCAGCAGATGTTAATCTGGCTGTGTGCCAGCCACTCTAACAGAACATTTTAAGCATACATGAAAACTTTAAAAATTAATCCTATAGTAACTTCTATGAGACAAAGGTCAGCCAGAGTCTGCACAGTGCTGGTCTTGGGCCAGAAACAAACAGCAAATCTGCAGGAGCTAACACGGAATTTACAAGAGATTTGCTGCCATCCTGTCTGAGGATGCCCAGCAGTCCCTAATGCCTCTGACTGCGTTCACCTGCCTCGCTGCAGAAACAATTTGGCTTGTGAAAAAACACATCCCCACCCTAAAATAGCAAAGTAATTAAATTAAAAAACCAAAACCACCACATACACACACAAAGACCCCAAACAGAAAAATATAGGCAAGGTACAGCAAGAAATAGGAGAGAGAACGGACTACCTTTTGGGAATTAATCACTAGCATTAACTAGATGTCTGTCAAGCACTTTGACGATGGAAATCTAGAATATAGACCAATACAGATGACCAGCACAGCAAAACTGCAAGACTAGAAAGAAAGACATAGAGACAGAGAAAAAGAGAGGGAAAAGTAGACAAGGTAAGAATTATCATTAGCAACTGGATCGGTATGCTCAATTGTAAAGAAAACATTACAAATTATGATCAAGGAACACAGTGGTTAAAAGGATTATCTAACAGATATCAGTAAAAACACCCCAGGGAAAGAAAGTGTTTCTGAGGAATCCTTTGTGCTTTACTTACATTTATTTTGATTTCTATAATAGCTGCAAGTCCAAACGCCAGCCCTGCAAGGATCATACCTGTTGCCATTTTTCTAATAGGTCTATGGAGCAAATGAAAGAGGTACATTAAGGAAAAAAAGTAATTTAAACTATAGAATACCATTCCTCAGAGCCAAATATGTGCCAAAACCATGTAATAAACTGTCCAACAGGTGGCACTGGGGATGACAGGCTGTTTAAATTGCCAATCATTTAACTTAAAACTATCTTATTATTCTGTATGAGGCCAGCAGTGAGGCCAATTAAAACTGATACGCCATGAAAAAAAGCTCTTTCCTTGCAAGTTTCATATTATCTTTTTCCCAGCTCTTCTAGTGGGAATAGCTCATGGCATTATGTTAATCTGTAATACTGGAAGGAGCACTAGAAATGATGTATCTTCAAGTCCCTTTTGGGAAAGGCAAAAGAAGAGTAGCATGCTACTTAGCAGTGGGAATGAGGAGCAGAAAAATGTGTAGTTTGTGTCATCAATGTTTCTGACCATCTGGGGCACCATTCTGGGTTATTTCTGATGCCAATACATTTACATTTCTAGAAAATAAAGAGCTTGCTTCTAAACTCAAGGCAAAACTAGCGCAACTCTACCGGAGTTACATGAGACAATCTGATAAAAAGCAGAATAAAACAGGTCCAGAACAGCATGTCCAAACTAAGTATTGAATTGCAGAGATTTGAAACAAATCTGGTTGTAAATTCAGTGGTCTCCACTCTTTGTAATGGTCTTTAGTCCTGGTATTCAGTCCTGATCGCTGCTTGAGTTTGTGCTGCTGAGTGAACTACTCTGTGAATTGGTCTCCAGGCAGAAAGTTTTCTGTCAAGTCAGGGCACAGTCCAGGCCATGGGCTCACACTGAGGCAGCAAGGAGAAGCACAGCCTCTGGGCTGTGTCCTCCAAAAGGCACCACTGCTGGGCTAGACATTGTCTTGGATATGTCTTTAGGTGCAAGTAATTCAGCATGATGGGAAAGGATCAGCAGGGTGAAGGGGTAGACTTCTGAGGCTCCTTCCATCCTCATTTTATGTGGATTTGCCTGTCCAGCATTTTAGTTTGGATTAGGAACATGCTTTTTAAGCCCATCTCCCCGTTCATCATCCCTTCCCACACTGTGGTTCACATGGAAAAGTGGTGCTGGAGCATGGAAACTTGGTTCCTTTCAGCTGAAACTGCACTGGCAAAGGCACTCCATGAATGCTCATAAACATACTCCCAGTGCTACAGGGTGTCAGTCCACAGAGGCAGAACAGAGAGACACGAAAGTAATATCACCCAAAATGCACAAAGTGGGTCTCAGAAACAAGCTGGAGATCTGCTTCTATTACACTGCACTTGTTGCTAACACAGACTAGGGATAAAGTGCTTGGGTCATAAAAAATCCCCTTATGCACTCACTGATTCAGATCCTAGTATGGAATCTGCTTTCACAATACCACATGCAGCCCATATGGGATTAGGAATTTGGCCCACGTGAACCTTTCAGGGAGGGAATTATTTAGGCATGATATAGGAAATAAGATGAAGAACATGTTGAACAAATTCAAAGTGAGACTATTCATATCTGCTTTTGGGGAAAATCTGTACAGAGCAGAACCCAACATTACAGAGCTTTCCCCTCTGGAATTTCCAGGATCTATGGAAGAGGGTGATGCTGCCTCTTGGGGCTGAAGTATAATCAAGTACTGGGAAGGGTGAATGGAAATTTGTGTTTCTCCTCCTTAAAAGCTATTCTGCACACTTTCTGCAAAAGAAAAAGCACCAAGGCACCTGCATCGTCTCCAAGTACTTACGTGAAATTAAATTTGCACATGTCTATCAGGGGGTAGAGCCCAAGGTCAAAAATTGGGATGAAGACAAGAATAAGAAGTGGATTTAAGAACTGCAATACAAAAGAATGGGAGTTTAGTGACTAGAAAGCAACTTCCAGTAATTAAACCCATAAAGCAATGTCCTCCAGAAATAATTCCATTACAGAAAGGACATGGACAAACACTTAAAAACCTCCTCTTAAAATATAATCACAGTTTGCACTTAACAGCTTCTGCTATTTAGTTTTCACAGGCATGAATACATTTTGTTCATATCCTCCCCTCTAAGAGGTAAGCAAGCACCATTGGCCCAGTTTCCCTGGAGAGAGAACTGAAGCATGATGTTTTTAAAGAGTACAAACCCCACTGACAATAGACACAGGTGACCTTTGGTGCTGTGGTGGGACCTAACAACAAATCAGCAACAATGGAAACATCTTGGGACTCCAGCAAAATCCCAAAGGAACAGGCACTATTCTGTGAGATTGGCAATATCTCGCACTTCCACACATCTTGGTAATCCCCTAGGAACAAAATTTCTCCTGGGAGGGGCACAGCTTGTCTGCCTGCCAGCAGTGGCAGCGCAAGAAAATAGAGAGTGATGGAGAACAAGCAGAGGGAAATGTTGTTTCAGTTCCGAAGGAAGATTTTGGGGAATAGAACAGCTTTGAATTTCTCCAGAGCTGTTCAGCGTAGGAATTGTAATCAACTGTGACAACACAGCACCATCCCAGAGCTTTCGCATTTTCATCTGCCTTGCAGAAGGGGAGGAAGCAACATATTTCAGGAACAACACTCATCCCAGTACAGGGGCCTGTTAGAAGGTGATGCAGCTTGTGTCCTCCACAAGTCAGCACTAGTTCAAGAACTATTATGATGGCAGAGGTTTTCCTACACCTCTGCACTATTCTGCAGGATTCAACCTCTGTGTTAGGACATCCTTGGAGTCTTCTGAACCCCAAGGCTAAGCCTAAAAGCAGCTAAAGAACAATAAGGTAAAGTCCACACCACAGCAACCAGCAGGAGCACTGCTACTGCCTTCAAAAGGAGCAGAGAAAGGCCACTGGTATCATGAGAAAAATAAAAATGAAAGAGAAAAATAAAATACATTCTAAGGGTTATTGCCTACCCTGTAATATCTTTTACCTGCATTTGGTCAGGCTGAAGGACATATATTCCCTGAAACAAAAAGATATTGCAAATGATTCATAAACACTATAATAAATCAGTGCATATGGCAAACAAGGAACTGGTCCTGTAGAGGCCTTAGCAGCCAAGGTGCTTCCTCAAATGCTTTATGTTGTCTTTAGCAGCTGATATTGTGCTCTTGATACCTGTCATCTAAGGACACAGTGTTTATTAAGACCATTTTGCAGAAGGAAGCTACACTCAATTCTGGGTATTTGGCATCTGTGACACAACCCATGACAGGTACTGAGGCCCATCTTTCAGACTGACTGAGCCATGAACTAGGTGAGTGGAAAAGAATGGGCGTGTGAGTGTCCAAGTTGGGATGTGGGCTTAGAGCTTCCTTCCTCCTGTTTCTATAATGGGAAAAGCCTAAATCCTACAAGTGAGTGCTCCCAAGCTTCAGGACCCTGTGAGCTCTGTGGGCATTTCTCCCAAGCCTCAAAAAGCATAACAAAATGAGCCAATAGGCTGCACAAACACCTCTTTCCTCCTTCCATCTGTACCTAACAGGCTTTGGTCAACTGGGACTTCTTGGTTTGAGCACGGAAGGACAAAGGGATACCAGACCCCAAAAGGGACAGATGACCTGTCTCCAGGGAGGGACTGGTGTTTGTCTGAACTCCACAAAATGCTCTTCATTTGAAATTAAGATGAAGAGAAGGAGAAGCAGGGGGAGGGAAGGAAAGAAATTAGAAAGGAAATAATATATTTCCAAGAAAGTGCTCTGGGGGTTTGTCTCCTGCCTACCAGGCTTGTCCTCAGCTTAGCCTAGAATGGCTGCCTGTCTCTGCCTGCAGCTGCCTCCTGGGATAGTGGAAACTGCTGGTCACAGCAATGGAGTCAATTAAAAATATCAGGCAAATACCCCCTCCTGCTACTTTGTGCCTACTACAGGAATGTGCCATTAGGAAACAAGCCTGGAAGTATTTCATCTGACACTAAATCACTCCCTGTTTGACTCCAGACTTCCTAGCTGAGCCTTTGTCTGCAGAACAGAAAGCCACGGAGTATTACAAACGTGAACTCCAACAAGCCTAACGGTGGGATCACCCCAATGTTGAAGTTAATTCTCATCTTCTTGAGCTGGGACAACTCATGAGGGAAGAGTGGATGAGACTGAAACAAAAGCCAAAAAAACTATTCAAGTTGGTGTGCCAAAAAAAGCCCTGAATATGTCCTTTTCCACCCAGGAGAGTTTAATAGTGATATCTGGTGATTCTTATCTCTCCTGCTGACGGATCGCTAACTGCATGTGAGCAAAACAGTAGAAATAAAAGGTTTTAGAAATACATCACAAAGACTGCATGGACTTACATTGTTTTGTCTTTCTGAGGTCGATAAATATTATCCAAGGTGTAGTCTTCTTCATGCCTCATTTGAGCTAATTAAGCCTAATGAGTATCACATGTTGAGAGCCCAATTTTTAACAAGAGTGACCTAGAAGGTCCCAGATTTGGGGCTTTAAGTCAATTTTAAACTGGAAAATGGTCATTTACAATCCCAGATTCTGATGTGGGCATCCACAGATAAGATCTAGATTGCCTGTTAAAACATATACGCCTGAAAACCAGCCCTGTATGGTGGTATCTTTGGGCACACAGCTGATCTACATTTATCTGCGACTGCAGCCTGTACCTTTTGCCATTCACACCTTTGAAGAACTATATGGCAGTTAACTAATTAATCCTCATCGCATCCCTAGCCTATACCCAAGAATCCTCCTGATTTTTAGAGGCTTCATTAATGTATCACCACGTAAGCCAGAGCAGAAATACACAACCACATCAGCTCTAGTCACACCTTCAAAGGGCTGTGTGACTTCTCTGTCTTCAGTGGGGGCAGCAGGATGAAAATGCCACCTGCTCTACGCCACAGAGTGACTGGTTGCCTGAAGGTCAGCACCCCTGACCTGCTGATGGGTCCCCAGCCCTCGCTCCTTGGACAGATGAGCTGTGATGAACCGAACACGGTTGCTCAGAGCCGCTCGCTTCCAATCACCAAAAGTGAAACTCACCCAGATTCACCAAGCAGACGCTCTTAGTACTGCAAGGCTCCGGTTAAAAAGCAAGAGAAGTGATGTTACTACTAGTCTTACCAGCCCTGGTGAATTTAAGTACTTACAAAATCAGCATTCATTTTTGTGGCTTGCAAAGTCCACCTGGATCCCTAAGGAGAAAACAGACAGCTGTGAAGCTTTCAAAATGTCCCGGGGGACTAGAAAACATGGGGACAGAGAAGATGACAGCACTGAGGGTCTTATTTCCCACCTATTCCTTCCCTCCCCTGTAACACCTGTCAGTAGGCAGGGCACATTCTCTCTTCTCACCCTCCTCTGCCAGACACCTGGCAGGACTGTGAAGGGATGGCCAGCAGTGATGGTGGAAGCCCCAGACATCAGGTAGGAGCATGGCCCTCTGTGTCCCCAAGATGTTTTGCTGTTACCCCGGAAGGACAGAGGTGCAAACCCAGGCTGGTAGGCAGACCTGTACACATTGTACTGTACCTGCTGATCAAACAGGGCCCAGAACATTGGCAGCGGTATGAAGAGGAAGAGAACACGTGTGACCATTTTAACTTCCCCAATCAGCTGTTTCTAAAAAGGGAACAGGTAAAAAGGTAAGGTGGGGGTGTAAAGTCAAGAGGTGATTCAAGCCACAAAGCATAAGAACTCCTATTTCTTTCTGCATGGCAGTTCTTCATTGCACTTACTCATGATATGGGACATGTTTGCTCTTCTTCAATTCAATGCAGCACCTAAACTGTCCATTGAGGGTCAGGAGAGTACAGATGTGGGAAGGGACAGGAAAATGTGTGCCCAGAGTCAGTCTTACTGTCTCCCTGTCTGTCTGCCCATCTGCCCCCTTCCCCCTCCAAACTTGCCAGTTAGACCATTGCTTACCGAGTATTTTTCTGATGCCCAGTCCAGCCAGTGATCCCTCTTTGGAATCTCACGGGAGCGGTTTTTCAGCCGGTTTTTAATAGCAAACTAGAGAGAAAAACAGGTGAGTAACTCACTTGTGCCGTACCTGCCCTTGTCACATTCCCAATTCAAGGCTGCCCTCCCCATCCCCAAATGTAAGCAGTGCCAGAAAACTGTAGGGGGTTTTGCTGAATATTTCCAAACTCTCAGATTGGATGCTTTATGATTCTCTGCAGGGAAGTTTCTGTGACATTGGTTGATTAAAGGTATGATGTGGAAATGAATCATAGAATATCCTCAGTTGGAAGGGACCCACAAGGATCATCAAAGTCCAACTCCTAGCCTGTTTATGCTGTGTGCTCCAGTCAGTGGACACACTGAACACAGCCACCCTGGCAAAAGGAGTGGTAGACCTCACTTAGAAATCCTGTCTTTAAGATCTCGCCTGTTTCCCCAAGGTAAATCTGGCACTAGGGTTGACCTAGATAAAAAGAAAACATCTGCTGTTAGCAACAGCTTCCTGAAATAGAAACATCATTATCCACCTAATAATAAGACAGTATTTTTTCACATACTGTATTCAGCTCACACACTATGAAAAACAATTGATAAGGCTCTAATGCAACTTCAGCAGGTGTCTCTTGCACTTACATGAACATGCTGAATGTGCATAATACGAATGTGTGCTATCACTGTCTGCTGAACTGATAAACTTCAGTAAAATTATTTAGCTGAAAAAAATGGAGTCATATATCTGATACTCTGAGTTTCTGAATTTTCCTTTTAGTTCAGTCTCCACCAGCATCTGCCACAAATGGTTCTACTGAGGTCAACTGAACAGTTCATGGAGCTAAGGAGAGACAATTCAAATGCTGAAAGAATAAACTAGAACCTAAATGTTTCTCATTCCTTTCAGCTCATCAGCAAGATATCCAGAAGCAGCATACAGAACTCCAAAAGTCACCTCCCCTTTGCCTTTGCACTTTCCTGTCCTGCAACCTCAGAGTTATGCATGAAAAAGAGAATGGCACACACTTACACCGATGCATTTGCACACTTCCAGTAAGACGTTCCCTTGTGGTGGTGTTTTTCTGTACAGTCCACTTCCAGCAATGAACACAACTGAAAAAATATTATAATCCAAATGGGAATTCACATGGCTGAAGCTCAATCCTGCACTGGCTTCTGGGAAGGATCCCCCACCCCCGTATTTAACAGAAATGCTCTGCCCTTGGGGCTTACAGGATTGTACTTTTAACTAAATGAATATACAGGAATCCTTTCATGACTTCAGATGAAAGAAAATGCAACATCCTACAAGATGCAGTGTGACCCCTAGGAAGTCACCATCATCTTCTCATGCTGCTCTGGAACAAGAGGCACCTCCACATCTGATTCATACTGGGAATAAAACTTCGAAAATTCACTCCATCTGTGCTTTGTGTAGACTAAACTTAAAATACAATCCACACTGAATTGCTGCACCTGATGTTGGAAATCAGACCTTACTCATTGCAAGAGTGTGAGGATTAATCCAGATACAACATGGGCTCTGTGTCCTTTAATCTCACACACATTTCAACAGCAACTGCCACGAAGGTCACTGTGTCACATACAGGTGTTAACAGAAATTACCTCTGCTTATGGTTTCCACAAAGAGTTATACAATTTAAGATACTGTTTTGTCTTGATTTCTTTCCTCAAAGCACAAAGAATATCAGATCAAGACTTCAAAATCCTGTCAGAGATGGAGCTACCTGATTATGTATCATTTATCCTGCTCTGTGAGAGCCTCTGAGCACATTACAATTCCAAAGACACTACCAGGGAGAAGTACAATAAAAGCTAAGCATGTAATCCATATAATAAATCAACTAACTTCTTAAACTAACCCAATTGTCTGGTCAGTCCACAGCCAGTGGTGAATAGCAGGTACCTCTATTGCAACACAGGAGGCCTGGAACTCGGCAGGGAACTCACCTTTGTTCTTTTCTAACTGTGAAGACTTTTAGTATCCAGGTTAAACTTGCAGACCTCTGAGAGACATCTGAGGTCAGTTTAGACGAGCTGCACTTTGCACTTGTGCAAAGTCACCCAGAGGGGTAGCTGCACTACCTAATTTTTAGCATCTCCCTGTGAAGCTGTTGGTGCCTCTAAAAGGTGATTCATTAGGTTCACCTAATGAATACCTTCTGGCAATGCCACTGACTACTTTGGGAGCTGAGGTTCCTGAATTAGGTTTGGCATTTGGAATTAAATAGTATCAATCTACTCCATCAGTCAGAAACAGAAGCAGTGCAGAAAATCTTGCTCTGTAAGAATTTCATTATGCCTCTTCATCTATCCTTGGTCTCCATCATCATGGGGAGAGAGCTAGTCAGGGCCAAAATGGTTATTTCATCCAGTTCTGCATGCTGCTCACATAGTCCAATATATCATTTCCCAGAGTATTTTAGCATGTTACAAAAGAACACAGAGCTGCTTTGCTGGGCAGGCCATGGAATCTGGCAGCAGGACACTAGCTAAAAACACATTTCGATTGATGCCTTCATGGAAACTGAAATATTTACACGTTCGTTTTCTCCTGGGCAACTACTACTCTGCTGGAAACATTCATCACACAATGGTGCACAGAGGAGCCTGTGCTGCCTTAAACTGATAGGAATGGGCCACAGGGGGAAAATTGAAGCTTCTCAGGCCTGTGACCATGCACTTTTTTGAAAATAATTGATGTAACATTAGCTGTGGCCTGATGACATTTCTTCAGTTTACTGACTCTTCTCCCCGATGGAAATTTGAGCGGAGACAGCAACATTCACGTTCTCTGAGAGATGAGCTTTTCAAATCACAGATGCTGTGGTGAAATCACACAATTGCTTGGTCTCTCAGTGAAGCTAACAATATGAATGAGAAGCCAAAACCTCACAAATGCAGTGTAATAAGGGGACTGCTCTCCTCAGCATCTTGAAGATGTGAAACTAAAGCTAATGGGATGTCCTCTCTACTGCTATCAAGGAGTAATGTCAAGACTGCTGAGTATTTTATAAGGGTTGAAGAAGAAATCTTGACAAGTACATTAATGGGGCTAAGATGCAAGCTTTAGGAAGCAGGGGGATTGTGGCTGCCTCCTGACAGTTGGACAATAAGGACTTTTTATCGCAACATAATAATAAGTTGTCACTGTAATTGTGGGAATTACTTCAGCCAAGCAAAATGAGACAGCTCAGAACAAAGTAACACCTTGTTCAGCTCCTTCTGCAATTCCTGTGGCACACTGATTCAGCAGCAAAAGTCTGAGACGTTAAAGGTGGCCCAGAGCTGCAAAGAGGCTGTGGAAAGGTTCGAAGCAGCATGTTAAGCTTCTCTTTTATAAGCTGGGGGAGTCTGAGGACCGCTCAGATTGCAGTTCAAAGGCCAAGCCTGCTCATAGGCAAAGCTGCAAGCCACAAGGAGAATCATTTTGATGCATCCCTTTGCATTAGAGTAAAGCATCCACCAGACCACACCCTTAACAGTATCATGATAAAGTATTACCATGGTCTGTCCACTATCAGTGAACTACTGATTTTTCTTGCTGTTCTGAACTGTGGAATTGTTGGATGACCTTGAACCCTTGCATTTCCCCTTGCAGAATCAGTGAATTTGTGCATTTTCTCATCTATCCATGGACTCAAAATGGTAACTTCTATTACAAGCATTACTGTTTCCACTCACCAAGCGCCAGCACCATCAGTGCTGCTGGGACGCCAAAAGCCAGTGCATAACAATCCTCTCCAAAACATTTCACATCCCCTGAAAAAGAAGTCAGAAATAAAAGCACCTCATTACAGTCAGACTTATGGTACTGGGGTTTTTGATTTGCTTCCCTAAATCAGTCACTTCCCCTGGCTTTAAATCTTCTTTGCTGGTGCTTGACACTGTGAATTGAATCTCCTTGAAACAGTAGTCCTCCCTTGATGAAGACAATTTTTAAGCAGGGTTAGAGTCTGCCAGCAAAAGCAGCTGATAATTGGATATTGATGCAAATGGTAGAAGAGACGGGGCAGACAAATAGGTATAAAGAAGTACTAGGAACTGTACTTGGGAGAACAAAGCAACATTTAAAATAACCTGAAGCCATTCTGTATTTGCCTAAATCTAAATAACCAGTACTGTGTTTCCACATTACTTGTGCCAGCTGCATGAGTTGTTGAGTGAAAAACCTGAATCTGATTTCATAGCGAGCTGCAGTGGACAAAGTGGAAGCCACTGCCCATAACTGTGTAAGTGGGAGTACAGGATTAGTCTTAGAACTCCAGTTCCCTTTCCTGCCACCTTCCCAGTCTCACTAGGGGCAGCCTGCTCCAAATGTCAGGTCTTGCAGCAAGCCATCAGGAGGCCAGGTGTGTTACAGCACAGGTTTGAGCAATCTGAGCTATGGTTCACTGAAACCCTACACCTCTCGGACCAGTTCTGTTCTCACACCATGTGAATTTAGAGCTCCAGTTTCAAACAGTGAGCCGGCAGTGGGATCTGTGTTTCTATGCCAGAGGCTAGAAATTAGTGCATTCCTACAAGAAGTAATAATAAAATGGTTAAAACAAGCCAACACAGTTAACAGGAGACCAATCCATGAAGCCTTTGTTGCTCCTGTTTGTTGTAGCTGGGCAGCCACAGTCAGCTGCATAGCTATGTGTATGCAGAGCATTTATTTACCTATTTTCAGCCAATTAGCTGAAATCTGATAAAGCATGGAGAGACATTATGGGCACACTAAACTTCTGACATGCTAAATGAGCTCGACTTCTCCACCTAGAAGTATATATTTCACAGTTCTGCCAAATGTCTACAAACAGCATTTCTTGCTTTTCCGCGAAAAGCTTTCAGACTTAGCAAAAATTTTACTCTTCCCCCATCCTCTCCTCCTCAATTCCATGTTGCAACTAGTTTATAGCTGGGCTATAATGGCACAGGTTTTGATGTTCAGAGGGGACTGAGTTTTCATCTGCCCATTGACTATACTGAGCAAAAGCCCTTCCCAACTGAATGCTGACGTGGGGACACCACAGAGAGAATGAGTAAGATACAGCATTTGTCTTTGCTCCTACGCATGGGCATAAACATGAGACAAGCACAGTTGTTCACAGTCATTGTGATATGAACAGCCTGCTAAAAAAACAACTGCAACAAAGAAAGCTTCCTGGAAGCCATGGGGCAGAATGAAAAAAAATCACTATTAAAATGTGAAGTCTACCTTGTCCCTGGTCTGTCCCCATCACCTATGGCCTGCAGCTCTGCCTCTGTGCCTGTATTTCGAGTGTGCCAACCCCGTTGGCTTCAAGGCGCTGTGACACAATGAAGAAAGAGCAGCAAGACTTGGGGAATAAAAAGGCTTGTGCAAGCTGGCTAGAATATAAAGTAGGTCTTAAATGGGGCATAGGCCTGTGCTTTGTCTTCAAGGCTAGTTGCTCAGGGCTGCAATCTTGCAAGCAGACCCAAGCAGGTACGCCCGGGTGCCAGGACAGAGCCCTCCAGAAGTCAGCAGCACCCTGTGGGAGGGAGAAGGTAGGACTTCCAAACCAGCTCTGCTAAGTTTTTCAGCCCTGATGGGCTGCACGGGACAACAGAGACCATTTCCCATCCATTGTTTACCTGCAGTCAATACGGGAATGCCCTTCACTGGCAATGGGGATTTGATGACCATATAGGTCCTTCCACCTTTCATGTTTTAATTCTGCAGTTCAGGCTGGCTTTGAAATACAACCAGGAATATAATTTCTGTGACTTGTCTGCCTGTATTATAAATCTGCTACACTACTATGGCAGGATTAACAAGGCATAAATGCAATACACTGACCACTACACAGATAATATAATTTCTGCCATTCAGTTGTCATAAGAGCCTAACTACGCACAGCAGTTAGAGGGCAGCTAATTTATTGTTTTATTCTAAATCAACACTGACCTCTTAATACAGGAGTTACAAACGTAGAGATCAAACTTCCAGCATTAATGGATAAATAGAAGATGGAAAAAAACTTGCTTCTCTCCGAGGTCTAAAATAAGAGAAGACAATATCAACGTCATGGCTAACACACAGCATTGGGCTTGCAAATTGAACACTATCAATTCCCTTGTTAGGAAGGCTGAGTTAATATTGACACAAAGTGCATAAAATGTTAAGCAAACAAGCTTGTGTTCAGGTGATGGTAAATGCTCACACAAATCAGCTCACATTACTTGAGAAGCGCTTTGGGGCTTTTTGGCATTTCACAGGAAGAGCCACTGCTTTGAGAGTGTTGTGAGATTGCAAGGAAGAGAGAGCATTTACTTATTCAGAACAAGTAGCATGATTCAGTTCCTTTGTCACCTAATTCAATACAATTTGGCATGGTTTGACAAGCTCATAATTTCTTCCCATGTCTGAGCTCTTTATTTTTGTTCTCTTCTTCTCTCCTGTGTAGAAATAGAAAAAGAAACCTGTATATTTTAAGGAGCTGGTAATTACAGCATAGATGAAAGAGTGCCAACAAATGAAAAGTATCCATCAGACATGAGATTACCAAACTGAGGACAGTCAACCTCAAACTAAAAGGGTAAATTAAATCTAGGGGAGCAAATTGAAGAGCCTGATGAAGGGGTGAACTCCAAGCAAAAGAGTTCAGACTTTAACTTATGTTGTAACATATTATAGTTCATACAGTCCAAGGATTCCTGTTAACGTGCTTTCTTCCTGCATTATTCCTAATTTGGAAGGAATCAAGAACTTGATGCAGAGTTGGGCCCTTCTTGCAGGAGTAATATGTGAGGGCATTCAACTGAGGCCAGTCTCTCCTTTCTTGTGGGAGAGACAGACATGCACAGTCTCATGCATATACAGTGCTAGATGCCAGCAGAATGGAGAAACAAGGGCAGGGTACCTGACCTAACAAACGCTCCTCTCTATCACCAGCTCTGTGACATCTGAGTCGGTAAAGGTAGTGGGGAAAATTGCTTCAGACATGGCATGGTGCCTGGCAGAGAGCTCCTTAGGGCACATTGAACCACATCTCTATGACCTGAGCATCATTTGAATGCGAAGCTTTAACTTAGCTGAGCATAAGGAACTCCTCAGGGACCTTTTTCTGTCTCCTTTCCCTCTAATATGTCCTGCTTCCTTTTGCTCCCTGAGACAACACTTCACAAGGCTAGAAAACCAGAGAAAATGTGAAGAATTGTAGGCAGTTGAAAGAGGATAGCTCTTATGTAATGAATCCTGGGATCCAAAAACATAACAAAACTTCTGTAACTGATGGTGCAGACAACAGGAAATATTGTTACTTTGTATGGCAAGAAGTCCCATATCACAAGGGTTCACTGCAGGAAAGGTGGGGAGGTGGAAGGACATGGAAAGGCTTTTCTTTATGTTCCCTTGTAAAGCAGGTAGTGGGAAGGTGAGGGTGAGGGCCCCATCACCTCCCACTGCCACGCGCCAAGGAGTCTGGAGGTCTGCTTACTTGGATTAAGGGCTTTCTATCTTGACCCAGCACAGTTATGAAGGCCCCATCAACAAATTTTCCACAGTTTTATTTCCTAGAGTGTTCAAGGCTATCTAGTTCATACATTACTCGCAAATTATTTATCCTGGACTAAACAATTTGAAAGCCTTATAAAAATCGTCTCTGTGGTTAACAGAAAACAGCGCTGGGTCTTACTGTCTGTTATACTCCATTTCTGTCCTTAACAGCGGTTTTGATTACCTGAAACTTTCTACTGCTAAACTAGTAAAAGCATATTTTCTTTTTCATTCTACCTTCATGACTGGATATTTGTCATCATGAGGAAATCTAGAGAAATGAGCAGCCTCAGCAATCTTTCCCACTCCTGCAGTAGCCTTGCCATAGTTTGTCAAGGGTGGTGCAGCAGAGTCCTCACAGTCCTGTTCTCTTCTAGTCAAATTCTCATGCCATGTGTCTAACTCTATATCTGAGGAACTCAGAATTTCTGAGAGCTGTAATAAACTCAAGCATGCAGCTCTTGACATGGTAAAGTCTAGAGCAACAATTACCAAAAAGAATGTGGTGGTAACAGAAGAGGATAGTGATGCATAAAAAATTTGGAGCATCTTATTTCACACAATGTAAAAAAAAATGGTCACAGAAAGGCTACAAAAATAATGACCCAGAAGCCTGCAAATTACACTGATTGAAAAAAAAAAAATTCCTTCCCTATTGTCTTAATCTTTGGGGCAGACAAACATTAACAACATGATTTGGATTAGCTAATTTGAGAAAATGTACCATACATGGTAATCCTGATCTGCTTGGCAACCAGAAAATAAAGAAACCAAGAGAAAGCTATTTAGTACCTTAAACACCATACTGCATTGTTTGAAAGCAGCTTTGGTCCCTAATTAATATGCAGAGCAGCTCCACATTCATATAACATATCATAACTATAATTTTGTTCAGGCATTTTTAACTTGGACTCCCAATCCCATAGACAAAGACGTCTGGAAATCTCCTGTAGATAAATCTATTTTCCCTATCTGACCTCCTGCCAAATCACTCTCCATCACTGTCTGTAGCAGTACTGTTCTCAAAGTGGCAGATCCAAGACTATTATGCTTATAAAGTACTTAAAAGAGGATCAGACTGATGTTGCACATTTACCTCAAAACATAAAGTTGTCTCAGGGGCAATTTATTGTTTTATACACAAAACTACCTCATCCTTAGCTTTCACAGTGAACAACTAAACCTGTGCACTTTAGGACTCAGCTGAAGTTTATTCCTGAAAACTAAGGGAGAATCAAATGCTTCATTTAATAGCAAATTTTCAAAACTTATTTTATCCTACCTGGAGTGTAAGAAGAAAAACATAAGTCTCCTCAAACACCACTCCAGAGGGAAGAAATATTGTGGTGGCCTCGAACCTTTTATTTCTTACAAATTCTCATTCCAATTCTGAAGACTTAAACTTTCTATCACATAGCATAAAACATTTGTTTCTTCTGAAAGGCCAAGTCATTTCAAAATGGTAAAATAGAAAACTTTCTATTCTGAAAAGAATGAATAGACCAGAACACATTGTCCTTATCAGAATGCTTTTTACAGTTTTCTTTCTCTAAATTAGTTTTTCTTGAAGGTGGCATACAGGTGAATGTTTGAGACTTAGTATTTGATAAATTTGTTGGAGAGATGTAGTCTGAATGCTGGAGAACGGGTACAGGCCCACGCAACCATGGGCAATTCAGGTTTTTTCTCTGTAACAGCTGTGGTTGCAAGTTTGGGATAATAATATGTAAATGCCTGACTGGGGTGCTGAGATTCATTAGCTGAAGTCTATAAAACACTCTGAAGATAAGTGGTACATATTATCATACTGTAATTAGGTGGTAATTGAAAGATGCTGGATAAACATTATTAATTATTAATATTCATAGAAGTAGCACTTCTGTAAATGCTGCTCTAACACCAGTTACAATCCTTTTGGATCCAACTGACAGCGCAGGATGGTCATGCCTGCAAAAGGTTACGCTTTGGACAAGTGACCATGAAACATCCTATGGTCTGTTACTCCTTAGTAACCATAATCTTCACTACTTCAGCATCACATAGTTCATGTGCACAAAGCACAAGTCTTCACGAAGTTTTAAATCTAGTCTATATTACTAGTTCATTAAATGCTGACTGCATACTGGGGTATTGCAAAAGACAAAGAAAAAACTGCTCTATGGGGCTCCTCGTCCAAGGATAAGGGGGCAATTCTTGTCCAACTCTACCAGTGCCTTTCCTGACAGACTATTAATCTAACATCCTTCTTCAATGAAGGACTGGAATTGCATTGATGAGGATTTCCATCTTCCAAAGGTCCTAATATCTTCCAGTATTTCTCTAGAACTACTTCTGGAACAATTTTTTGTATTGTCACTCCTAAATAATCCTCCTTGAATATAATCCTACTCATCACAGACCCCAACACTTATTTTCTTTTTTGTAGCAGTGGCCTTCTACATATTTGAGGACTTATGCCACGCACAGAACTTGTTGATTTGAATACTGTCATTGAGAAAATGGAAATTTCTATTTGTCTTTTAGGTCGACATAAATCTGTTTAGTTTCAGGTCAATTTTAAAATTTAGCATTTTGCCTGAGGATTAGCACTTCCTGACCTGCTTTGCTTCTTTAAGCGCTACCTTATCCCTGGTTGAGCCCCTGTGCTGCATAATGGGAGTTTGAGATTACTGCAGATGAGGGGCTAAGCACTTATGACAGAGAATGAGGACATGAAGCAACTGGACTACAATTCACAGGATACAAAGCAGAAGCAGAGCTAAACACAAACATTTCCATAACTCTTCAGAACTTTGCATTCTGGAATACCTAGAAAACATTCTGGCACTACTTTCAAAAGACTGGAATTTCCTACAGTTCTTTCTGAACAATGTCTAAGAAACAGCTTATGATTTGAGGAAAAATTCCCACAGAAGCACAGGCTGGTGATAAAATCTTTTTTTCTCCCCTTTGCTGTATTCCATTGCAGTGCATTATAATCACCCCTATTAAGCTGGTTCAGAAATGGCTACTGTTCCATGATATAGGAGACAGGATTTTCTACCTACTCTGATGTCCAATTAACATTTAGATGATTCCATGCAATTATGACCTATCCTTTCCAATATCAGTCCTGTTCTGCTGTCATTTTCCTTTCCTGAAGCATCCAGACACTCTCAAGTCTTATGCAAATCATCCTTCCTCAAATCTTACTACATCTTTTCCAGCAAACTGGCCCTTATTCTTCTAGCACAACAGGATTTGATCACAAAAACATCCTCATAAAGTAAGCAGACGCTGCAGATTTTAAGAAATAAAAGAAATCTTACATGTTCCTCTTCAAACTGGTCCCCCCCAAATGCAGAGACACAGGGCTTGATACCTCCTGTTCCAAGGGCGATCAAAAACAGACCAACCATAGACAGGATCCTTCATGCAAGAAAAAAAATATCACCATTGCAAAACCTTTCCAGTGAGAGCATTTTAAGTGTCAGCCCACCATGATTCCTCTGATAACATTGCTTTTTGCACATGGGTAGTGATGATAAGCCAGCTAAGTGTGAAAAACAAATTAACTATCCTAATTTCTGCATTCAGTAGCAGTCAATTAACCAAACTGTTTTTGTCAGTTTCTTGTTGTTCTGAGGCCCTATGGACATACAGGAGATCAAAGATCTGGGGGATTATTTTTCACTCATACGACAACAAAAGATTTCACAGATCAATCGAGAAAAAGAAAAAAAAAAATGCGGGGGGAGGGAAAGTGCCTTTTCCTGTAGCCTTCCAGCCTGGGTAAGTGCAGACAAACTGTTTGAAACAGGCTCATTCCTGGCTGTTTTCTACTTCCCAGTGGTCTTAAAAATACCATTGTTGGCCTGGCAGATTATGTCTGCAGGGAACAAGAGTGTCAGGACTGGCCACATCTGGGACAAAAGAAAACTGTTCTGTAAACTACATGCGCTCTTGCCTGCATGTACTTTTCTTTTTAGAGCTGTGACCACACAGGCAAAAACAGCTTGGTGGTTTCAGAGACACTACTCTGACAAGCCTACCAGTTCAGAATCTAGAGGGTAAGACGGGTTGTACCCAGTGGAAGACACAGAACCTTCTGTCATCAGAAAATGCATTTTGGTTTTGTGTTCCCATGCACACCAGCGAACCTTGCTGAGCTGAACAGCTATGCTGATGAAATGAGAGAGGAATGAGCCCAGTGCAGGCAGTTGGATGGAGGAAACCAGACTTCAATAGCATGGTATAGCAGAGGGGGGTTGAGCACAGGTGCCTGTGATAAAGGGTTTAGAATCTCTGTGGAGATTTCCAACTCCATCTAGTGTGTTCGCACACTAGATCCACCCTTCTGCTCTTACTCAGAACATCCCTAGCCCTTCCCTGATGAAAGTAATCCATGCACAGCCCCCAGACTGCTGGCCTGATGGAGATTAAACATAGTCCTGAGTAAACCAACTACCATTGCAACCTGCTACAGCACTGTGGCTTCAACAGCTACTTACACATGAACCGCCTGGTTGCCCAGGGATGGAATGGCACCGACTGACTTTATCAGATGGCCAACAACATACACAATGGAGAGGTAGATGATCGTCCTGTGAGGAAAGCAAACAGCAATGACTGAAGGTGCCAGGTGATGTACAATCCAAAACAGAGTGTTCCCGTGCTTCCTGATACAGCAGCTCTACTTGGCAGACACACAACGAACTGGTTTGTTCCACCACTGGTACAGTAGGCAGCTATAATTCCTTTGTGCCAACTCTGAGTGCACTAGAAGAAACAGATAGGCAAATGGGTTCAGATTAAGGAGGGAGAGCCCCTGCTTTGTTTGCAGACATTACTGAGCAGAATAAACTTAAAGTGTTTCAGTCTTGTCACGCATGGAAGGCTGCAAAGAGGAACATACTGTTCCGGTCCAACTCAGTTTCCAGATTACTAATAATTGGCATTTTATAGCATGTGCCTAAATGAATCCCTTGACTGGAAGGCATCCCTAGGGACAGTCAACCCACCTAACCAACAAATCTGAATTAGGAGAGTGGTTTCCCCATTGTACGTTTGTTTTAGATCCCAAGTACCTCTGAAGGACTGAGCTCATCTATCTGCCTCCCATGTGCTGGTGAGGGAGAAGAAGAAATTGGAGTAGGACAATCAAGCTCTTGAGTGTATTATATTTCTCCATCACCTTCAGGATTAAGAGATATCTATGTATTTATGTGCAGATGACATAGAGGGATTGAAAGGACTTGTTAGGACAGAGACAATAGAAGAAGTCCAATGAGCTTTGAGCATGGAAATGGTCCCCGATGCATTCAAACCCTGATTGTAACAGCTAATTTAGAGCCACATCAGAACATTCCTAAAAGCCCCTCTAAACTGTTATCCTGTCCTTGGTATTGGCTGAGGTCCAGCTACCACAGCAAAAGCCACCTCCTATTAAACTATAGGGATTACTCCAGGGAAAGTCTCTTGCCTAACACACCAAAGTCTGTGTAAGGATCTATCTTCTCACAACATCATGCTGCACAATAGATATCCCCAAATACCAATGAACATTGCTAGGTGACCTTAAATAATGAAGTTAATAAACCCTCACTGTTATTTTTTTCACTGAAAGCAGTAAGAGAACTACTGAAATGGGGAACAGAGAAAAGAAAGAACATGGATACCTCCTTAAGAACTTTCTTCTGGAAAGGCATATGGCAGTTGTTTATTTCCTGCTGAGACTCTTCTGCCAGATGTGTGTAGTCCTAGAGAGAAGGGTTCGGCTGCATTTTATCACCCCGACAGCCAAGACTCCTCAGACAATGAACAAACAGTGCCAAGCAAAGAAAGTCCTATATCCAGCAGCTCACCACCACTCTGGGGCAGATGTTGGCTCCACAAATTATCATCAGAAGGGAAGACTGCTTAAGGACTCTTACTCAGGAAGAGTTTACCTGCTTATGTTCTCATGGAGATGATTTGAGTGAACCCAGGTTTTTCAGGCATAAAAATGGCTGTACTCATACATTCCCTATGCTGTGAAAAGCCTAAGTAAGTACACAATAGTTAGTGTCATTTCAATAGCTAGTGTCATTTCATCTGAAACTGCAAGATCTAGATGATGACACCAGTTTCTCAATATCTTTGAATCCTTCCCAGAAGCAGACCTTGGCAAACTGAGGGTTAATCACCTTACAATCACCTTCCTGAACAGTGTAGGGAAGGGCAGTGGAGGAAAAGCCTATTTGTTGCAATTAATTTGTTCCAGCTTTGTTGCCTATTGGCCCTTAGGTGTAAGAGGAGCAGGGAACAGCATGAACAGACAAATCAGCTGTCAACAGAGGGGAGCTGACCTTCCCAAGTGTGTCTTTGCTGCACTCTGAGCCAGCTCAAAACTGGGAGCACACACAGCACTGCCCTTGCACAGGCTGCACGGTGTCGATGCATGCTGACTGAATTAGAAAGGTGTCCTCACTTACTTGTATTTGCCCAGCCATGAGTCTGCCATGATGGCGCCGATGACAGGTGTGAAATAACATAGCGCGGAGAAGGCATGGTACACAGCGGTGGAGAGATTCTCATCCCAGTGGAAGAAGCTCAAGAAATACAGTGTCAGGACAGCTAAAAGGAAACAAGCAAATCACATCAGATAATTAATGTGTATCTCTGCAGGTAAGCAGAATCACGATGGCAAGGCAACCACTGACTTGCCTAGCAACTATGAGCACTGCTGTGGAAAGATTTGTGCTTTCAGACCTGTTCCTCATAATCTCTGACACAGGAAAAGCTACAATGAGATGTATGAGTATCACACATTCTTTGCTCATAAGCATTTATGCTTACCTGAAAAATATATATTCTCTAGCTTATCTTGCTGTTACCTTAGTTTGTTTATGCACATTTTCTATTTGCAGATTAGGTGCCTGTAAGATTCAATTCCCAAACACACAGATTGCACACAGCTATGAAAGACATTACACACTAGAAAACCAGGTCTGATATAGAGAGTTATATAAAAATTTAGACTGGAAGGTACATTTGAAGCCCTCTAGTCCCAACTTCTGCTCAGAGCAGATACGGCAACAATGTCAGGGTACACTGTTCATACCTGCATTCCAAAATACCAATTTACTTTGAAACACAGCTGAGACCATATAGCACAGCCCTGGAACACCAAGGTGTATAGAAACCCTAGGATGGGAAAGTCACTTCCCAGACACAGGCCACATACCTCGCATGCCATAGTAGGAGAAGCGCTCACAGAACTCATTCACCACAATGAAGGCAATGCTCAGAGGGTAGTTGGAGCCACAGAGTTTCTGTGGGAGACAAACAAGAACATATCAGCTCTGTGAAAGTCTTTACCCCAGCAACATATCCCCACAGCGCCTGGACGGTGGAGAAGAGTCCAGTGCAAAAACCAGGTGCCAATTGCTGCTTGACTGGACTGTGAGTTGGACTCAAGAGAAAGAGTGGACCTCACACCATTCTTGCTTTGATTAAGGCTCCCCAGTCAATCAGCCTGGCTGACACAGGCCCCATAAGGACTGCCATGGGGATTTGTGAGCTGTCAGCAGCCACCATGCTTTTAGCTCCAGGAACTCCACTGGAAGGGTGCTACCATCTCCCTACTGAAATGCAAAAAGTCACTGAGATGAAAAAACACCTTTGAATGCCTTTTCTTCTACACTTCATATAAAGCTACCACCCTGCCCCAAAACTGCTCCCTCTTCTAGCACCAGATCTTGCCTCAGAAGCTGGGAGACCCCAGGGATCTCCTGTCTGCTTCTGTGTGTGAAGCTGCTCCCTCCCACGTGACAACTGCACTCAATCTCTGTACCTCACTTGCACCAAACTGTGCCATCACATTCACTGAAGCAGAACATCAGCCCTGTGTCCAGCATTCCCTCAGGCATGGCATCCATTTCATATTCCAAGATTGCTGGCATAGTTATGGATAATTCAATTTATTAATCAAAACTAAAAAAAAAACAGCGATGGGACTGTCAAACCTGTCTGAGCATGGACACTCTCTTGCTGAACCTGACTTTACTCCAGCTAAAATCAGCAGTTCCCAAGTGAAATACAAGGCTTTAAAAGATGAGTCTTGGCATGACCTTGTGTGGGCCCCCGTCCCTCTTGCCACCCCACAGCGGTCTGAGCTAAGCAGCTTTCAGCTTCCAGCTGCTTAGTAGCTCCACTGCCTCACAACAGGAAAGCAGGTTTTCACAGCACTGCCCAGCCTCTGCCAATCAGTGGGAGAGAGGGGCTGGCCATGCTTTTGGTGAGGGACTGGGGGGAGTGTGATGTTAACAGTTGCACTTATATTTATGGTTTTAAACAGCCATGGTACGGGCCAGTGAAGTGAGATGAACTCTTCACATGCATTTCTGCGCCTTGTGTCGGAAATAATGAATTCCTGTACTTCTTCCCAGAGTACCAAATGCAAATACAGGTACCAAAATAGATGTGTTTATTCAGGTTTATTTCACCATCAAGAGACCTAAGCATATTTGGATTCCCAAAACAACAGCACCAACTTTAGAAGAGTCTATCTTAATTATGCTGTCTTGCTCAACATTATAAAAGAGCAGCAAAAAAAAAATCCCCAAACCAAACTATAACTTCCCCCACCCCACTTTCCATTAATTAACCAAGCATCTCTAAAGGTAAATATTTCTGTCCCTCTTTTATATATATACGCATATATTCTCTCACTATTTATGGGCTGCCTTTTTAATAAAAAACCCTTGGCCTGTTTGTTTTACTAGAGTAAATACATAATTATCCATTTCATTTATTATTTGCTCTGAAACCATCATGCTCAGCATATGGCTTGTAAGAAAGAGTGGGCTCTCTTGAAAACAGCACTGGGGCCTCCTGCTTTTAGACTAGCCTAAAACTGGTGGCATACATAAGCTGTAAATGCACAAACACACAAACATAAGCACACACAGAATACCTTTCTACAACAGGTTTTTCATAATAAAAGAAGAAAAGCCATAAGAGGCAAATTATGTTTCCTGTGGGTGCTGGGAGGCATTTTCTGAACTTTGAAGTAAAATTGTACAACGGATGTTTTTTTCCTCTCTCACACATTTCATAACATTTGATGGAGATGCAGAACATGACTGTTCAAACACAGCTGTCAGGAGCGCTGCTGCCTGAACTCACCCTCCACACCCAGTGCACAAGCCTCAGTGGATTTAGCTGCAGCGGTTTAAGGTGCAGTGACTCATTTCAGCCACTCCTGCTCTGGGACGGGCACCTCCTACAGGTGAGTAGAGGCAAGAAGGGAAAGGAGAGCAGAAGGCAGTGACTTCCCAGCTAAACCTCCCCGAGCGCCTGAGCCGGGACCCTGAGTAAGTGCTTACAAACACAGAACAACGACTTACAAGCAGGGGTACTTCCATCTGGCTTGTATGACATGAGATGGTATCAGCACTTGCAGAAACCCTCATGTGTTCTCTCCGCTGTATCACTGACCTGCCTGTGGCCTGCCTGGACATCCAAAAGTGGGAAGCTTTCATCCATGCGGAGAGCCAGGTGCGGTTTGCTCGCTTTCGCGGAGGAGAACCTTGCTCAGCAGAGAGCCCCAGCAAAAGCAAAGAGGTTAAGCCTGGATTCATGAACGCACAGATAGTCTGCAGTGCTTAGCTACCACAGCAAGCCTGGGATCTGCAGGATTATGGACCTCTTAAAGATACTGTGGAAGTTGATAGTCTGTGTCTTTGGAAAAAAGATAGTTCGTTTAAAGAGCCTGCTACAGGAGACGTTTGTTTTCACCTCTCCTTCTTGCTGCCTAGCTGCAAAATGGGATAAAGATTAATATTTCCAAGGAGCTCTGGATATCCAATAGTTAATGTCTGCACAGTACTTATAACTGTGAGTTAAACAGTTGGCTTGCTAATGACGTGACTGTGAGTTTTAAGACCAAGTATTACATACTATCCTGCAAGTCAAAGCAGCTACAATACAAGCCAAGTTCCCCCTGAATACAATGCAGTGAATAGTTTTTAGGGGTCAAGCACTCAACGAGAATTAGACTGAAAACCTGCACAAACATCAAACCTGCAAGGCAGCAATATATATTCACCTGAGTCAGGCTTTAAATCAGAGCCAAAGATCTAAACTCAAGGCTCTGGCACTACAGTAGGACTCTAACACTCAGCAGTGGCCTGTCCTCAGTTCCTGTCCTTCCTTCTGCTTTACAACATCTGGGGACCCTTCCCTGGTGGGTTTCATCAAACCAAGTCAATGCAGGGGCCAGCTCTCTCTGTCCCACGCACAACATCCCCCTCCACTTCAGAGAAGTAAGTCCTTTCCCACAAGAAAAGTAGTGTTCAGGAAAAAGGCAGCAATTGAAACCTTACCCTTTTTCCCAAACATTCAGATAGTTTGTGTTTCCCCTTTAAGCTGCACTTTCTTAACTTAATCAGGTTAGTGGAAGGATTTTTCCCTTGAGTTGTTAATGCTTATTTCAATGCTCTGCAAGAAAGGGTGTTTGTCTCTAGCCAGAGCACAACAGAGGAGAGAACAGAGAGATCTTGCAATGTTTAGAGCAATCTGAGCAGAAAGCAAAGCAAAGGAAACCAGCAGTAACACTCACCGGGGATTTTTTCCGAAGAGGGAAATCTCCTTTGGGGGGATCATCTCCTGCAGACACAAAATTGAACAAAGTTTCCTTGGATTCATTTCTCTGAAAAGCGTTCATCTCCCCTCTCGCCTTGTCTCCCACCATGCTATGTGGCTGTGGTGAGTTGACTGGGAAGATTTCCAACCTCAGGCATGAAGTTTGATTCAGTTTGAGTTAACCCTAATTGAGCACATTTGTGCAGCCAGGGCAGAAAGGGGAGGGAGATGCTACCCGGAAAGACAACTGCAGAGTTCAAGAAGAGTCAGGGAACACAGCCTAAATCATTCACAGGTTGGGGCTGTCAGCACTTTATGGCACAGACCTCCCTGTGGTTTGGCATGCCCCCAGCCATGGTACGTGCACCATGCCAGCACGGCACTGTAGGCTGCACAGATGTGAGCTGAATAAAAATGCCAGGTCCCAGACACACCTACAGCCTGTGGATTTAGGAGCAGAGTGTGCATCTCCCTCCTGATGTGGTAATGACAGGTTTACTCTGCAGGGATCTCATTCCACTGAAAAGCCACACATTTCAAGTTATAAACTACTAAAATGCTCATCACATCAAACCCCTGGACACTGGATGTCATGGATGCCTGCACTGTGTTAAATCATTTCTTTGCTATCTCAGGAGTGAAGTGACCCAGGGTTCATTCCCACACCAATTCCCTGGAATGACCTTGTCTTTTCCCATGGGACAGTTTAATCAAGGGGGCACAGCAGCCCCAAACCCTGTCTCTACTTTCTATTATTTAAAAGAACACCTCAGGACTCATTAAGTGGCAAATGCAGCCTATTTGTGCTGGGAGTCCCAGAATTTCCCCTGCAGCTATTGTGGGCTCAGCTCCCTGCAGGTACTCTGATGTCCTTCCTTCCATTCCCACAGGAATAGCAGAGCCCTTCATCAGTATTCTTCCAGTGCCAGTTGCAATTACAGAGCAAAATTCACAACCTTCCCATAAACTATCCTCAGTGGTTGTGTCTCTGCAGTATCCTCGGCGCAGTGCAGAGTTTTTTTCTCCCTCTTACACTTGACTTCTTTAAAAGGCAAATGTTCAAAGAATTTTTCCAAATATTTCCCCCTTATCTTATCAGCAAAGCACAGACCACACCCAGAATCCATAACTGGTACAAAGAGGTTCCATAAACTCATCCTCAGCTCCAGCATCAACTTGCTGATAGTGTTTGGGTATCACAAGAACCAGGTTTGCAGTTGACAAACGAGGAAACAGGCCTTTACTCACACCAGAGATCCTTAATCTGGCTTCAGATATTGCCAACAAGACATAGAGAACACTTAGACAAGGGAATCAGATGTGACAGAGTGCACAGAGGAAGCATAATTACTCTCCACATTCCCTTATATGCTCTGGTATTGCTTTCTCTGAAAATCCCCAAGGATCCTGTTCATTGGGCAACTAAACAGGGCAGCTAAACATGAAACCCAAACTACAGATGGGGCCAGGAAGGTCTACCCATTTCTTACTCCTTTATTCTTCTACAGCAGCGGCAAAGCAACAGTTTGATATCTCCCCTGTACTGCCACAGACCAGCTCATCTTCAGCCTTCCTGGTGATCTAACACCCACACAGCCTTTTCACTGGGTCCAGCCTCCAGTGAGCTCGGGTTTGTCAAGCCCATTTCACAGGCAAGACTCAAAAGCAGACCCAGCATTGGGGGCAGTGCAAGGAGCAGACTTGTGCACACTGGTCCTGTCTCCTGCACACCAGGGTAGCACATACTCTTGTGTCCTGCAAGTCTGACCCTGTGCTAGAGACAGTAGGAGTATTTCTGATGGTGGCATCTCTTACTGCCCTAAGTATCTCTGTACAACTCCGAGTAGAAACCTGTTGTATTCTGCCATACACAGGTAAGCAGAGCAAACACAGCAGCAGAGTTATTAAAGGAGTAATACAAAAGGAAGACAGAAATGGTTTCACTGTCTCTTGCACAGGGCTCCCACACTGCTGCGATGTGATGCCTTAATATTTTCAGCCTTCTGCAGCTATATTTCCTCTGTGTGTGTACAGCCCTGTGTGTCACATAAGCTAAATGATTATTTTTTTTAATACTAGCATGAAAAACCCTATCAGTCAGTAGGATTAACATACTACTTGTCTAATACACTGCAGAGCTTTTTAGGCCATTAGCTGCCAGAAGGTCTTCACAGATAGAAAAGGGAGAAAAGGAATTCAAATGTCTGGCAATAAATGGTAACTTGTAGCAAACAGCAAAAAATGAGTTAAGGAGAATAACTCTGCAAGCACATTAGATACAAATACAGAATAATACTTGATAGGACACCTGTGAGGCTGGACTGAAAATCAGGAAGTAATTGTACCACAAATGGAAATAAGGTGGCATTTCTGAAGACAAGTATAAACAAACGGATCAAACACGGAGCAGTGGAGGCTGCAAAGCCAAGGCACAAAATGAATTACAGCTAGCAGGGGGACACAAAAGGCAATAAGAAAAGGTGTTAGAAATGTTGTCAATACTGGAGAAAGAGGAAGGAAAATGAAAGGCTGTTATTTAAACCAGAAAACAAGCAAACAAAAGCTCATCCACAGAAGCCAGAAAAGTTGTATCCTTTTGGGTTTTTTCCACTAAAAAAAGTAAATTGCAACAAGATGCCCAACACCATTAAAATGAACCAATAGGAATATGGATGAAACAAGACAGAACCTGCTTAAATAATATTTGGATACCTCAAATGTACCCAGATCATTAGAGCCTGATGAAATTCACCTTCAAGTGCTGAATATGATACACTCAGGCACTTCCCATGTGGGGGGTAGAAGCACGACAAGCATCACCACTGCCTTTAAAAAGGCAGGTTAGGACAACCCAGGTGTGTTCCTCCATAGCCAGAGGGATACTTGATCAGATAATCCCTTGTAAGCACCAAAAGGAGAATAAGGATTACAAAACAGCCATTTCAGTTTGGAAACAAATGCTCTCAAACCAGACTGTTTCTTTCTTTGGTGACAGGGTAAATGGCATAACAGCTAGAGCATCTCTGTATGTGATATATCATAACTCTAGTATCTCCAGTGTCTCACAAGGAAACAAAGCCCAGGTGAAATGCCCACATAGTGGAAAACTGGGAAATCTCTCTCAGAGTAGCTATCAATGATTTTCCATCAGACTAGGAAAGCACAAAACATGCAGGTCCTCAGCTTTTCCATGAGCAAACAGAACACCAGCACAGCCAGTGTGCTGTTCTCCTTTGTGTCCAAAACCACGATGGAGAAGCATAGGTGAGAACAGGGTATGAATTCAAACTGGTGTTGCAAAATGGGAGAAACCATTTTGCAGCTCTGGAATGAAAAATATGACATTTGGGGAAGAAAACTATCAAACACTGCTCCTATCCACTGACAGGGAAAACAGCCACAGAGACCAACTGTTCTCCATTTTCATCAAGGATGAGGGAAATAACTGACTTTATTTTCAGTAAAGACGATTTGGGCTCCTTTTTCCAATTTCCGTATCAGCGAGGACAGATAAGCACTGGAACAGAGATGGTGTGGCTGGAGCTGCAGGATTCAGGCAACCCATGATTTCCATTATATAAGAATGTATTAGGGACTGGATAAATATCAGGTCCTGTCCCAGAGCAGGCAGATGGATGAGGTGTCCTCCTGAATTTCTGTGAAAATCTTGTGCCAAACAACTTCACTTGGTAAGCACGAAAGCCAAGACTGCTTTCTGTATAATTTCCTCTTTTCTAAGTTATCCTTTATGCAAGTGGGGAGTCTGCAGGATGATTCATGCTTAAATGTAATATTCAGCTACCAGATGCCTCGTATAGCCAGAAATTCCCATGAATAGATTTTGCTATGACTTTGAGTTCATAATTTAATTTTTTTCTGGTTCCCAAATCCTCAGGAAGAAAATCTGCATTTTCCCATTGCATTTACAAACCCCATGTTCTCACTGCTCCCTGCTGCAGTACTGTGCAACTTAAGCTGTTTATACTCAACTAATCTCTTCATTTTTACCTGCATTCATCTTGTGTTACAATCCCTTCCTAATTTTCAGCTCAGCCACACTCATCTCTTAATAATGAGTCTTATTTTTAATTCATAGACACTGGCCATACTTTTATAGCCCTTTTACCATATATGCATTTCTCTCCTCTGTCTTTATTTTCGAGATAAGGTTTTAAGAAGCCAGAAGAATGTGCGCCAGCAACACTTAGGGCTTAATGACCAGACCCTGGAAGGAGATGATAACCTCTCCAGGTCTCATCTGGCTTATTTTCTCCAATTCTTTGATCACAAGAAAGAGCAGGGTTTAACTGATTTAGACAGATCAAGACTGGTTTCCATTGCCTGCAGACTTGTCCCAAACTTCAAAGTAATTTAAGAAAACGATTTATAAAATCATTTGAACAACCAGGAAAATATGCCAGGGGCCTTCAAACCCACATCTCTCCTCTATTCAACAGCCTGTATGGACTCAAAATTGTAAAGGTATTTAGATTAATACCACTAACAGTATAAAGTACCTAATCTATATTTAAGTGATTGTCATCTGATCTCTAGTCAACCTGTAACAATCCAAGGAACTTCTCATCCCTTCTCACACGTTTTTACTTTCAGTTTCTCCTATGATTAGCAAGAAGAAATCTTTTTAAATTCTCTCACCAGCTTGGGGTTCCTCGGCAGCCGTCAGCGTGCCGTCCCCCTCTGCCATGTCGGACGATTCCTGCGTGTTGGACGACCCCAGCTCTGCTGTGCCTGAAGATGAACCTTTGTTGAGCAATCCCAGCTCACTCTCACGCTGTTGTTAATGTTTCACTTCACAACAGCAGTCCTTTGGCCGCCAACAAAATAGTTAAATTTTCATTTAGTTTTTGATCTGAAGTCATCTTCGCTCAGCTCCCAAATGTCATAGGGAATCTGCCTTTCTCGAACACAGACTCTGAGGCTGCATGGCACCTTTCATGGATGTTCACGATCAATCACTTTGCACTGCAGCTACACTACCTTTCAATAAAATTACTGCTTCTGGA